TTGTTCCAATGATTTGGCTCCTTAATGTAGATCCCCAACAATGATGGCAGCATGTCTGCGCTTTTGACTTATTGACTTTTTCCCTGTTATACTATCCATTTATCAAAAATATACAAATTGTTTTGTGGTCTCAGTAAAGCTATATTAATACTACAGGTTGGGTGGAGGGATCAGCTCTGTGGTCATTAGGGGTTGCACCGACTAGTCGACTTCAATGCTCTGCCATGACGCTTTAAGCTTGACGTCGACTAATTACTGGATGCTCGAAATTGAACGGGAGAATGCACGTTTTAAACAGCTTATTGAACAGGTAAGTTAATCGCCGTTCTAATCTAATGCGCTGCTGAAGTGTAACACACACACATTACAGACAGTAGCTCGTACATCACACGCAGATCGTGCGCACACAGAATCATTCAGCACGGAAATGTATTGTCAACACTGCTGTGATTTCTCAATAAAGTAGCTTTGAAACTGAAAAGTTCAAGCATATATTTCTTAATAACTAAATCCCACAGCTTCACTACTAGTAGAGAGACGCTGCCAGGTAGAGCTTGGAGGAGGTGTGAGGGGATTGGGTCTAGAGGGCATGTTGTAGGATGGCTGGAGAGCAGAAGTTTTGATACTTCTGCCTCAGTGAGGGGACAGAAGGAGAAGATGGGAGTTTTTGCAGTGGGTGTGGTTGGTTTGAAGTCCTGTGTGTGTGGGGCTGAGAATTGAATCAGATACTTTATCTGTATCTGATTTAGAACGAGCAGAAATCTGTCAGAAATATAATGACTCAAAGACAAAAGAACTGATAAAAATGAGCTGTTATAGGAGCAATAGCCATGTGGGCAGCGCTGGGTCATATGCCATAGCTGTGCACAAGCTGTTTGAGTCTCAGCTCCAGACTTATTTGTTCATTAATGACGTCATCAGCGACTAGTCGACTTCGACTTTCATCACATAAAAGTCGACTTTAAAAAATCAGAAGTCGTTCAACTCCTAGTGGTCATAGTAGGGCCTTACGAAATCAGTTTTATTTTTTCCTAAATTCTGTTTTAAATTGGTCTGGATTTCCATTTTTTTTCCTCCCAAATTTTACTGGAATAAGTTTTAATGGTTAAATCACATTTTGGTAATCAGTAAGCATGTCTCATTGAAATTTAATAATCAAAGCATATCTACTCAGATTAATTCAAATGTTAACATTGTAATAATTTATTGTATTTTTTAAACAATTTTAGGGCCCTAAGAAGTTTTTATTTTTATTTTTTTCAATATTTTTTCCTCCCAGACATTTGGTGTTGTCTGTTTTAGTTATTCTGGATTTATGATTTAATACAATTTTATTATCAATGGTAATCAAATAAAGGGAAAAAAACATTAACAATTTAATTAATCTTTTAAAATGAAATCCAATTAAAATTGAGCAATTCTCATAATTTTTTGTCAGACAAAGTTTACCTTTAAAATTAAAACATGGAAGAAAGTGTGTTATTTTGAGAAGTACATTCTGCTTTACACTGTTTTTCTGTCACAATTTCTTCCAGTTAAACTGAACTTTTATTTTGATGGGTTGCCATGAAGACCTTTGAGTTTCAAGTCAGTATTGCGATTTGATTCATTGTACAGCCCACTTATGATTTACTGTGAAAAATTCTGTAGATTCCAGTCTTATGATTTGATTGTGTGATTTTGTCCATGTTATCCGCATCGAGGACATCTCCTAGTTTTCTAGCTGAAATCCTCACAGCGCATCAAGAAAGCAAGCATTATGTGGAATTGGGAATGATGTGTTTTAGTTCCTGATGCTGATCCTGTAATATTTCTTCTTAAAGGCTGATGAGGGTGGAGATCACCACTTCCGTAAGCCCGCCAATGATATTACCTCCCAGCTGGAGATAAACTTCGGAGACTTGGGTCGGCCAGGCCGCGGCCGTGGAGGATCTCGTGGAGGCCGAGGAGGTCGTGGTGGAGGTGGAGGTGGAGGCGGCGGCGGTGGCGGTGGGGGACGGCCAGGCCGAGGCGGAGGCAGATCTGAGAAGGTACATGACATACTGATATGTTCTCCTGATGTTTGTGTATGTATGAAAATTTGTGGCAGATACCGCTTACATCAAATAAACCTGTAGTCTGCCCCTGAAACCCATGTCACTACTATTTTACTTACAGAATACATTTAGTTTTTTAAATGGACACTGTTCGCTTATACCCCAGCAAAGAACTAAACTCTTTATTGTTGTGAAGTTCAGTCCTTTCCATTGAGTATTACAGGATTGGATCTGTTAGTTGGATGTAAAACAGTACAAAAATGCTATATTGTCATAGAAAGTAATGTTTTAATGTTGACTTTCATATGTTATTTATGGAAGACTGTTTCTGCCACTCATTCAAAAAAAAAAAAAAACCTCACAATTCTAACTTTTTTCTCTAAATTGCAGCTTATATCTCACAATTCTGACTTCCTTTCTCAGGATTGAGATTATACAGACAGAATTGCGGGATAAAGTTTATATCACAATTCTGGCTTTGACTTGCAACTGTAAGTTTATCTTAATTCTGAGGAAAAAAGTCAGAATTGCAAGATGTAAACTCACAATTGTGAGAAAAAGTCGCAGTTTTGTTTTTTATATACAGTGGCGGAAACGTGCTTCCATAGTTATTTGCGCTTCTAAACTTAATGATTTATATTAGATGATCACAAAAGATTCTTTGCTAGACCTGTAAATAATAAATTAAGCCTGAAAACTTTTCTTACAGGCCAATAAACTATTTAAAAAAAAAAAAAACTTTAAGTTGTTGATTTATGTAGTTTAGTTATTTATTTACTCTTTCTATTTTTCCTCTTGTTTCTTGCCATGAATATAGCCATGATAGATGGCATGGTGCTAAATTATAAACCATCAATCATGAAGTGACAGTAGCCTAATACACCAGCTTCTCTCTGTCCTTAATGTAAATCAAAAATCAAATCAAAATAATTTGCTGCTCTTGAGACCCAGACTTAAAGGGGTAGTTCACCCAAAAAGGAAACTTCTGTCATCGTTTACTCACCCTGAAGTTATTCCAAGCCTGTATGAATTTCTTCTGTTCTGTTTAGGGATGCATGTTATTTGATTTTTTGCCGATATTTTTCAACTCTTTTTGGCCGATGCCGATACCGATATATTTCCTTTTGTTTGGAAACAACACCAAGTCTCTCCTGTGTGGAAATTAAAAGTAAATTATTTTTAATTTTGGTTAGTTTTTAACCAGAACTTAGGCTGTTTGTTAGAATTAAATAAAGTTATTTTATAATGACAGTACATTGAAACTTTGAAAATAACTATAAATAAACTAGATATCAATCGCTGCATTTTTTTTCTTTTTCAGAAAGATGCAGTAGTAACCTTAACATTTTATTTTAAGATTTAACATTTGTAGATGGTCTAAAGCAAAAGAGTTGTACAAATTCTGAAAATCTTTTAGAGCTCATAATTTGTTTAAAAACACACATTAATGAATAAATCAGTATATATAAAATTATTCAAACTTTTTTTTATTCATGTAAGCTATAGCTTCTGACCTTTAAATCAAAATGTACTCATGGTTTTATGACATCAATTACTGCTTTATTTAATCAGAAACAGTCCAAATGTTATTTGTGTATTTTACTTTAATTTAATTAGAAGTAGGCCAACAGCGCCCCCCTATGGAATTAAACTGAGCGGGCATTAGGACCTGGGGGAAGCTGCCGCTGCACGTGCTATTACTGTTGACTCGGTCACACCCGAACGCGTCATTCTGTACATGCATTCTCAGTTTAAATGCAGCGATCCAAAACAGTGAATCTAATCACCATTCAGGCAAAACTTTGCTTCAAGAATGAATCACACTGCTGACGTGATCTAATCGCTAGCACACCCTGAGCACATGTGAGTTAACGCATTCCTCTTATCGGCAAGACATATCGGCATATCTTTTCATATCGGGCCGATGCCGATATTTACATCTAAAGCCATTATCGGCCGATTCCGATATCGGTCTGATATCGTGCATCCCTAGTTCTGTTGAATATTAAGATATTTTGAAGCATGTGGGAAACCAAACAGTTTCTGGTCCCCATTGACTTCCATAGTCAAAAAAAAAGAAAGAAGTTTGGTCTTTAATCACAGACTTTTGAAAGTTTTATCTGACACGCTCATGGCATAAGATGCTAAATGCTTGTGGAATGCATGTGTAGAAGCATCCAATGTTTTATATTTTCCAGATTTGTCATTTTCTAGTTGTTTGAATGGCTTATGTGCAGGAAAAGGCAATATATATATATGTACTTTGATTAATAAATGATTGTCCCAAATGTTGGCTTGAAGTCTGTTTCTTTTGAATTCGACAGGGTGGAGGCGTTTCCGTTCCCAATGTGGATGATCCCGAGGCTTTTCCAGCCCTGGCTTAAACCTCAGCTCTGCCACCGAACCTTCCTCCAGGCCCCTGCCCCTCCTCTTCGACGCTTGCATGCTTACGGATTGTTCGACCATAGAAACCAGAAAAGAGAAATACATGAGACTGTCATCCATACATACACCGAGAACTGACTTTTACCTGCGGAAAAACACAAAAAGGACTTCTTGTTACACTGAAGCAAATTATGGGTAGAGGTTTTGTATTTAGAGACATGATAGCAGGGATGTTCATACAGTATTTTTTCCCTTTTTTCCAGAGATTATGCATTCGCCATAAATATTTTTTTATTGCTGCTTGAATGTATGCATTTTCAAGATAGAATTGAGGTGTGTTGTGACCGCTTGTGCTTCAGTCAGGACACTGCGGTGTCTGCGTGTAATCGAATACGCTCTCAATGGCTCTACCAAAAGCAGAACGTTTCATTTTTGTTATTGTTTTTCTCCACCAAGTGAGAATACGAGACTCGTAGTGATGATTTTACTATTAACATATATACATGAATAATGTATATTGACTATTTTAAATGTTTTGAAAGCAAGCTCTAAGGTCAAGCTACCCTCATGTCATTTGGATTTTTTTTCTTGACCGGTAGCAAGAAGCAAATGCATCGTCTTGATCTTGCTTTGGTGTTTTCTGTCGTCCTCTGCTGGACCTGTGATATTAGTATGCATAGTTGTCTTTGTTCCTCAGAGAGATTATTTCCTCGTCTTGTTGAAGCACCCAGGGCTCAATGGAGATCCAGGCTGGTCCTTGTAAGTTCATCTCTTAGAAACCTTAGGACCACTTTCTGAACTAAACGTGGGTGAATTATGTGTGTGTGTGTGTGTGTGTGTGTGTGAGAGAGAACCTTTTTAAAAACTCGATCATCTGCCATAAGTTTATTTTCCTGAGCTTAAGATGGTAAGTTTCAGCAAGTCATGCTCTTAACATGAAGTTTTATTGACTTTAGTGAGTTTTCTCTAGCTGAGGTTGTTGACATGTCTTGCACTTAGATTATGATGACGTTTGAAATCTAGCTACTAAGCACGTGGTCTATTTGCATCAGTACCATTTGTTTATTTTTATTCCTTCTGTGATCTTTGCGGTGTTTTTATTTTTAACTATTACTATGATGGCACTACTGCTTGCGTTTTCTGAAAAAAATGTGTAATTCAGGGTGGGACGACAGTGTGCTGCGAAAGAAAAGTTGGAACCAGCTTCTTATGTATGTGAACTAGCGAGACCTCCAAGTGTGATGGCCGATGTACTCTGTATTCATAGGAGGAGGGACAATAAAAGGGAAGACGACACTAGATTTGAGTCCAGACCTCTGGTTTGTCACGTCTCTCCTTTACCCCACTCTGTCCTTTCTATTACAAACATGTCTGCAAATAAAATGCTTTTGTTTAGTCAGTGCTTCCCATGCAATAAAAATAGGTTGGAAAACTTTGGCAACAGAAATAAATGGTGCATAATATTTTAAGTATTTTTCCTTATTTGAATTTCTCATTTTTTCCATGTTTGATACCCAACTGTGATAAATCACCATTACAAACTTTAGTTTGTAGCTATATACCCCGGAAGACGACACTAGATTTGAGTCCAGACCTCTGGTTTGTCACGTCTCTCCTTTACCCCACTCTGTCCTTTCTATTACAAACATGTCTGCAAATAAAATGCTTTTGTTTAGTCAGTGCTTCCCATGCAATAAAAATAGGTTGGAAAACTTTGGCAACAGAAATAAATGGTGCATAATATTTTAAGTATTTTTCCTTATTTGAATTTCTCATTTTTTCCATGTTTGATACCCAACTGTGATAAATCACCATTACAAACTTTAGTTTGTAGCTATATACCCCTTGACCAATATAAATAAAAGCCCAAAATGGCTAAACTGATCTTTTGATGGCATTAAATATGAATTACTGGTAAAGAAATTAGCAAGAATTAAGCAAATGCACTCCTTAAATCATTGCATCTCAGAAAAACAATGTCAGAATGAAGTTTTTGGCAGAATATGGAAAGTTTGATTCAGAGTTGTGTAGAGTGAATCATGATAAAACGAGTTGCATGGTGATGCTTTTAAATGATCTGGTGAAAAATACAATAATGAATGCATCTCTACCACAGCGAAGCATGGAGAGCCTTTCAGCCGCTGCTTCACTGGGAAAACTCAGTTAATGCTTTGGAGTGAATACTGCAGAATGGTTTGCTTCCAACAACTGAAAAGTTGTTTTCTGAAGAGGAACGATCAGAATTTATTTTTCAACAAGAAAATGCTCCTGACCAAACTGCAGAGATAACCAAGAAGTGGCTTGAAAATGAAGAAGTCCATCAGGCTCATGTTTGGCCTGCTCAGAGTCCAGATTTGAACCCTATAGTGTATAGTTTATTTGGTCTCACAGTAAACTCCAAGTAGCTAGGAGACATTTTTCAACTCCTTATGAATTGTTTGAAGCCATCAATATTGAGTGAAACAACACTGACTCTGTACTTCTGTAAGAAGCTGTCTGCAAGTTTACCTGCACAGCTTTATCTACAGTATTTGTGCAGTTCTTGCTATTTTCTTGACCAGTGATTTGTGCTTATAAAATGTGCACCATTAAATGTTCAATATTTAGCCGACAACACATCCTTCATCACCCCGTCAGCTGTTCTTACAGGAATCTCTTGTTTATTGTTAATATTGCTGGCGCAAATTCAGTAATGTTTAAAATATTGCCTTGGTATCTTTTTACATTTTTGTCTTCTGTCTCTTTAAGTATGCAACTTATGTCAACAAGTTATTACAATATAAGTTCATTCCAATTAGACATTTATCTGACTCCAAGTTATGAAGAAATGCAGTGCTGTGAAAAAGTGTTTGCCCCCCCCCATGCGTTCTGTTTTTGTGTATTTCTCATACTAAATTGTTTTAAAACATTAAAACAAAATATACCATTTAACAAAAGCAATCTGAGTAAACACATATGCGATTTTTAAACGATAAAGCGATTTGTTGAAGCAAAAAAAGTTACTATTAGCCCCCGAAGTTTGTGCCCAAAAGAGCTCCGTTTTATTCAAATTAAATTTGCCTATGAAATAAATAGAAGTACCAAGTTAGATCACAGAATTTATTTATGAATGTTTTATGTTATTATTTTAGTGCCAGTGCGCCGACAAAAATCAATTACTTTCACAATGACTTATTTCTTAGAATAAAATAAAATATGAACTGCAGAACTGAAAACAGCAGTTCGGTAAGTGCTATTTATTTTTATGGCCACAACGTACATCGTATTGAAAAGCTTCGAGTATTGAAAATCCTTTTGCGATTCAAGATTCATTTGTGAGAAGAAAGCCTTGATGCTTTTTGTGTGAACTGTCCCTTTAAAGGAGTAGTTCACTTCCAGAACACAAATGTACAGATAATGTACTCACCCCCTTGTCATCCAAAGATGTTCATGTCTTTCTTTCTTCAGTCGTAAAGAAATTGTTTTTTTGTTTTTTTGAGCAAAACATTTCAGGATTTCTCTCCATATAATGGACTTCTATGGTGCCCCTGAATTTGAACTTCCAAAATGCAGTTTAAATGCAGCTTCAAAGGGCTCTAAAGCCGGTTCACACCAAGAACGATAACTATAAAGATAATGATATTAGCGTCCACACCAGCAAATTATATGGTCTGTTTATTCTAAGCGCACATGCGTCTGCCTCTTTAAATTCTCAAAAATCGTTTTGAAAGTGATCGCAACGATATCCTTCCTCTGTATCGTTATCGTTATCATTATAGTTGTGGCGTGAACTATGCTATTTTTTATCGTCTTTATCTAGGTTGGTTTTTGATATATTTAATAAAATAATTAAAATAGATGAATCTATGATCCTTTTTCTGAACTGTAGTTGATAACACTTTAAAGGTCATAATTCTTCTTGGGAAGTTTCATGTACATAAAGCAAAAATAATGTCTATTACCCCCTCTTTTAAGTTTTTCTGTAAAAAATTAAAATATTTTATGACTCATTGATTTCAATCACTAGAAACGAGAAATGTACAAAAACGTCTCATATTAAAAAAAATTATTTGTAAAATTTAATGTTTTACCCTCCATGATGTATATATTTTTTTATGTATCCCCCATTTTTGTTTGTGTTCTGTTTGACGTTAAGTATTTCGGTATGTTTGTTTTTGAAAGAGAAATAATAAAGGAAAAAAAAAAACCCGCTCGTCTTGTCTAGCTCTGCATGAACTGTTTTTTCCGGTTCATGTCAGTTAGGGTATGTCGAAAAATTCCCATCTCATTTTCTCCTCCAACTTCAAAATCGTCCTAAATGGCTGCAGAAGTACCGACCCAGTGTTTACAAAGTAAACATGCAAAGAAGATCAAATGCCCTTTACAAAAAAAACGGCAAAACAGCGATGTAGGACGATTTTGAAGGTGGAGGACAAAATGAGATGGGAATTTTTAGACATACCCTAACTGTCATGAACTTCCTCCTCGGCTATTTAGAGCCATTTGAGGCTCTAAAGCCGGTTCACACCAAGAACGATAACTATAAAGATAATGATATTAGCGTCCACACCAGCAAATTATATGGTCTGTTTATTCTAAGCGCACATGCGTCTGCCTCTTTAAATTCTCAAAAATCGTTTTGAAAGTGATCGCAACGATATCCTTCCTCTGTATCGTTATCGTTATCATTATAGTTGTGGCGTGAACTATGCTATTTTTTATCGTCTTTATCTAGGTTGGTTTTTGATATATTTAATAAAATAATTAAAATAGATGAATCTATGATCCTTTTTCTGAACTGTAGTTGATAACACTTTAAAGGTCATAATTCTTCTTGGGAAGTTTCATGTACATAAAGCAAAAATAATGTCTATTACCCCCTCTTTTAAGTTTTTCTGTAAAAAACTTAAAATATTTTATGACTCATTGATTTCAATCACTAGAAACGAGAAATGTACAAAAACGTCTCATATTAAAAAAAATTATTTGTAAAATTTAATGTTTTAAAATATTTTATGACTCATTGATTTCAATCACTAGAAACGAGAAATGTATAAAAACGTCTCATATTAAAAAAAATTATTTGTAAAATTTAATGTTTTACCCTCCATGATGTATATATTTTTTTATGTATCCCCCATTTTTGTTTGTGTTCTGTTTGACGTTAAGTATTTCGGTATGTTTGTTTTTGAAAGAGAAATAATAAAGGAAAAAAAAAAACCCGCTCGTCTTGTCTAGCTCTGCATGAACTGTTTTTTCCGGTTCATGTCAGTTAGGGTATGTCGAAAAATTCCCATCTCATTTTCTCCTCCAACTTCAAAATCGTCCTAAATGGCTGCAGAAGTACCGACCCAGTGTTTACAAAGTAAACATGCAAAGAAGATCAAATGCCCTTTACAAAAAAAACGGCAAAACAGCGATGTAGGACGATTTTGAAGGTGGAGGACAAAATGAGATGGGAATTTTTAGACATACCCTAACTGTCATGAACTTCCTCCTCGGCTATTTAGAGCCATTTGAAGCTGCATTTAAACTGCATTTTGGAAGTTCGAACTCAGGGGCACCATAGAAATCTTGAAATGTTTTGCTCAAAAAACATAATTTTTTTATGACTGAAGAAAGAAAGACATGAACATCTTGGATGACAAGGGGGTGAGTACATTATCTGTGTTCTGGAAGTGAACTAACGTTACTCTTTTAAGTGTTGTTTGGCATGTGACCCCTTTCAGCAGTGCGCTTCAAATAAACTTTATACACTGAAAATATAAGTTTTATTTATTAAATACTTAATGAATTTGTTTTACAAAATAACGTTAATTCAAAAATAGCGTAACGTTACCTGACGAATCGATGACGTGGGAACTTTTGGTGATTGACTGATTGAACTGACCAATGAAATCCGGGCGGGGGCGGGGCTTGCGCCTAGGAAACCCCGCCTGGTAGGGCATAGGGATGCTCACTTCCTAGTGAAGTTTACCTCAGTGGAGTGTGTTTTCTTTATCAGAGTCCTCCTGCGGACACACATGCACACTGCAACTCAGGTGTTGGCGGATTGGATGTGTGTAAAATAATAAACTTCAGGTGAGAAAGAGGACCCTAATGGTGAGAACCGTCCAACTGCGCATATTCTAAAAGCTGCTGTGAATATAATATATAATATAGATGTCGATAATCAAACTAGTGATCATAGTAATAGTTCTGTATAATATAAAGCCGTGGTTTCCAGATTCATCGTGACCTAAACAGCTCTGACTGGTTTTACTTTCGCCTTCAACTGTTGTTTTTGCCTTTTAAGTCGCTATTTGCCTAGTTTCAGGATGCTTTGTGATTTAGATATTTTGTTGTAGATACATACTATGGTTGTACTGTATCTGTTCAGAAACATAAAAACGTGAAATGAAAACAAAACTAGGTTCTAGTAAACGAAACGGAACTAGCTGGACAAGATGTGGATTTCTTTCCTTGTTTGCTCAACATTTGTAAACAACTATTAACAAACTTTTCACTTAATTGCATGACCATATGATAAACCAATCTGCCAGCCCCAGTGCTATTGATTGTGCTGAGACTGGCAGGTAGGGTTTACTATGTTTTACAGCTAAACATTTCAGACAAGCTTTACATGTTTCTCTCTTCCTCCAAAGCAGAAATGAGTGACCATCTCCTCAACCCACTGACCGTCATATGTGCGGGATCCTGCTTCGCCTTCTCTGGCCTGTTTTATAAACTATATTCAGATAAAAGACAAGAAGTGCAGAAGCTGAAGGTACAGTAAGGCAGTGAATCTCACCCTTTTGGTGTACCGGACCCCAGTCCAATTCAGAACCATCCTCAAGGACCCCCAGAACAAAACTGACTCATCTATGTATCATTTGTGTGTCTTTGTGAGGACCAAATGCAGTCAAGTATAATTAAAGTTAGCTGACTTGTCCAGTATTTGGCCATATCATCAGCTATACTGGATTTTTCTTTCGTGGGAACATGTCATGTCAAAATATACAAAATTTATACAAAAATTCATACTTTATATGGACCCCCTGGCCTTACGTCAAGGACCACTAGGGGTCCACGGACGCCTGGTTGAGAAACACTGCAGTAAGGACTTCCACATCACTGCTAGCAAAGAAACCGAACAACTGAACACTGGTTTAGAGCAGCCTCAAACCCACAAGTTATATAATTAATATAGTATCATCATCGTGTGTTTAATCAAGACACTGTAGATGCACAAGGTGGATATGGGTCATTCCATAATTTAGTGTGCATTTCATGTCCATTGATGATTATATATTTTTTTCTTACAAATTTCTTAAAAAAAAACATGTGACCCTAAACCACAAAACCAGTCATAAGGGTCAATTTTTTTAAATTGAGATTTATACATCATCTGAAAGCTGAATAAATAAGCTTTGTTAGGACAGGACAATATTTGGTCGAGATACAACTCTTTGAAAATCTGGAATCTGAGGGTGCAAAAAAATCAACATTTTGAGAAAATCGCCTTTAAAGTCACCTTAGCATTGCATATTACTAATCAGAAATTAAGTTTTGATATATTTACGGTAGGAAATTTACAAAATAACTTCATGGAACATTATCTTTACGTAATATCCTAATGATTTTTGGCATAAAATAAAAATCGATAATTTTGACCCATACAATGTTTTTTTTGGCTATTGCTACAAACATACCCCAGCGACTTAATAAGACTGGTTTTGTGCTCCAGGGTCACATATTTTATCCAAGAGAATACAGTTTTCAGTTGTCTTTGTCACTAAATGAGTTTTTGCAATATCCGCTTTGAGTTTTGAATTCAAAATAATGAATAAAAAAGTAAAACGTCAAGATTAAAAAAAAATAGATTGAGTTTAAATGGTCACCTAACGAAACATCCCCTGAAAACTAACAAACCCATGTGACCAGCATCATGTGATTTCATTCTCAGCACATTATGGTAAGCTTCCTCTTCATTTTTCTGTATTGGCTCTCTGGTGACCTCTTGTTAAGGAGTATATTAATTGCCCATCAACGGTGTTGGGTTCATTGTTACGGTTTGCAATATTTTCATGACTTCAGTTTAAATAAATATTACGATTTGAGGTTAACCTGATCAAGAAAATAACATTTGGTTGGCCAGACAAAGCCTGACATTGAGTCAAAATGGTGAAATTGTTAACTAAGTTAAACCCATACAGTTGACAAACTCACCAGCAGGAAAAATATCATTTTCGTTGTAATATCAAAATGTTGTTTAATGATTAAGGCTTGGCAACTAGCAGATAAAATATATCAACTGAAACCAACAGATGATTTGCTGAGAAAGCAAAGTGTTTTTACATGTTTTTCCTGATGTGACATGTACGCTAAAATATAGAATGACTCGTATGAAAGTTTATGTAAGTCACTTTGGATGAAAGGGACATAAATGGATTCAGCTCAATGCCAAATCAGAGCAGGTTTATAAAAGTGTGCACATCCAAAGAGCTGCTGTGAATTTGACCTTTCCTCCACTTTCCAGGAGATTCCAAACTTTCAAGCAGACCATCACCTGCTCAGGATTCTCAATGCGTCGTCCAACAAGAGACTTCATTATGTTGCCGTAGAAGGTAAATACAATGCTCAATAGCACCTCGTACTCTGAAAAGTCGTAATTGATGCATCTTTATTGTCCCTCCATTGCAGGATTGGTGCAGGCCATCGGAGAGCCCATTTCCAGCCAGTTCGTTCCACGCTGTCATGGTGTCATCCAAAAGATTACTGTGCACGAGCACTGGAAATACTGGAACTCTGCTCTAAAAACATGGTAAAAACACGCTTCACTGCAAATCATGTTGCTTGTTTAGACGACAGGATTGTAAAAACATGTCAGTGAAGCATATCTTCCTAATTTATCGTCGTTTTATTAATTTTTTGCATTGAAATTTGTTTTTAAATGATTTTTTTTAAAATGTGCATTTTATGATATAATTGAAAATAATGCAGCATTTACTTTTGGCCCTCAGCCATCAATTAAGTTAGATTTCTAGCCTGTCATAGTAAAATGTTTGGGCACCTCTTCTCTAGAAGGTATAGTTCCTGGCATATAGTTTGTCTCCTCAAGAGTGCATGCCTACTTCTTCAGCGCTGTTGATTCCAGAAGGATTTTGCCTATTTATTTTTCTCATAGGGACTTTAAAAGTCTTTTGTTAAAACTTAATAATCCATGAACCAAACTACAAGGTGAATCACAACACTACCAACATTGATTTTAAGCAAAAAGACAGCAGTACAAGACTTAAAAAACGGCTTTAGTGAGGGAAAGAACTACAATCCCATGAACCATTGTGAATGACAGTCAAATTAAAAATGGAGAAATACAAAACTATCCATATAAAGTTGTTGATTGTATCTATAGAAACGATATATTTCTGACCCTGGAGCACAAAAGCAGTCTGAAGTCGCTGGGGTATATTTGTAGCAATAGCCAACAATACATTGTATGGGTCAAAATTATCGACATTTTTTTTAATGCCAAAAATCATTAGGATATTAAGCAAGGATTATGTTCCATTAAGATATTTTGTAAATTTCCTACCATAAATATATCAAAACTTAATTTTTGATTAGTAATATGCATTGCTAAGAACTTCATTTGGACAACTTTAAAGATGATTTTCTCAATATTTTATTTTTTTTGCACCCTCAGATTCCAGATTTTCAAATAGTTATAGCCAAATATTGTCCGATCCTAACAAACCATACATCAATGGAAAGCTTATTTATTCAGCTTTCAGAACATGTATAAATCTCAATTTCAAAAAATCAACCCTGGTTTTGTGGTCCAGTGTCACATTTGAGAAACTATATACTGTAATTTACCAACTTGAGTACATCATTCGCTGTGCTTCATGTGAGTGGGTGGAGCTAAAGATGTCATTTGGTGCTTGTTGCAATTCTGATTGGTGGAATTTTCTGTGCAGCATCATGGGTAATGTAGTTTTTCACCCCTAATTCGGCTATTAAACATGATTATTTTAAAAATAAGCAACAGATGGTTTCAACAAAGCATTGATTAACAACAGAGTTCACATCAGGTCTGTCTTTAAAATTTGATCAGTCATTGTTCAAAATCTATTTTCCTCTAGAGAAACTGTATGGAGTTTTTACTTCTGGAACCTGACTGTTGTTTTAGCTAGTATTGACCAATCAGCATCCAGCACTAGAGCTACACTAACAGTCAAAAGTTTTTGAACAGTTTCTGTTCACCAAGCCTGCATTTATTTGATCCAAAATACAGCAAAAGCAGTAATATTGTGAAATATTTGTACTATTTAAAATAGCTGCTTTCTATTTTAATATATTTTAAATTGTAATTTATTGCTGTGATCAAAGATGAATTTTCAGCATCATTACTCCAGTCTACAGTGTCACATGATCTTCAGAAATCATTCTAATATGCTGATTTGCTGCTCAAGAAACGTTATTATCAATATTTAAAACAGTTGAGTACATTTTTTTTTCCAGGATTCTTTGATGAATAGAAAGATCCAAAGATCAGCATTTATCTGAAATAAAAAGCTTTTGTAACATTATGCTCTATACCATTGAAAAGCTTGGAGTCAGTATAATATGTTATTCATATAGAAATGAATACTTTTATTTAGCAAGGATGCTTTAAATTGATCAAAAGTGATGATAAAGACATTTAGAATGTTACAAAAGATTTCTATTTCAGATAAATGCTATTCTTCTGAACTTTCTATTCATCAAAGAAACCTAAAAAATTCTACTCCGCTGTTTTCAACATAATGATAATAAATGTTTTTTTTAGCAGCAAATCAGCATATTAGAATGATTTCTGAAGGATCGTTTGACTGGAGTAATGATGCTAAAAAAATCAGCTTTGAATAAATGACATTTGAAAATATATTCAAATAGAAAATTTCTTTTAATAGTAAAAATATTTCAAAATGTTAGTGTTTTTGCTATACTTTGGATCAAATGAATGCAGGCTTGGTGAGCAGAAGAGAAACTCTTACAGTTCAAAAACTTTTTTGACTGGTAGTGAAAACCAGTTATTATAAAGCATGAAAAAAACATCCACACAGGGTCTCCAAAAAAGTGAACAAGCAGCAGACCACCAACACCGTGCCCTTCAGTTTGGTCCAGCCCGGCGCATACATCAGCGAGGTCTCGGTGCGCGTGGATTCTCCGCTGGAGGCGAGCGGCGATTACCTGGAGCAGGTGCACAAGCGGCTCAGACAAGCCAAAGAGGGGCTGATGGACGCAGTCGTGCGAGAGCTGAGCGGGGAGAAGCCTGTGGCCCTAGAGGAGCGAGAGGAGCTGCTGCATGTGGGATCGGCCCTCACCGCATTCGGGGAGCTGGTTCTGGAGCAGGACAAGATCATGAGGCTACAGCCGCCCAAAGACGGCCGCAGCTACGTCCTGATCCCCGGTGATTACAAGAGCTTCATACAGCGGCGCGAGAACAGCGCTAACATGTGGAAAGGCTTGACGGCGCTGTTCGGAATAACGGGGTTTGCGCTCGTAGCTGGTTTCATCCACGGTGCTGTTAATCAGGATAAAAAGAACTAGCTGACTGAGTCATGATAGTTTTTGAATAAGATAATTAACTTTGTGTCATAAATCATGGGCATGAAAACAGCTATGTATAATTTTGCCAATGAAAATATTTTTCAAGCCTTGTACACTTTAAGGGATCCAAACTGTCTTTATATCTGCGTTTCATTTTTTATGAATCCAAAATAATATCAGCTCCATTCTGCTTGACTAATTTACCAATATTAAAAGTCATTCATAACTCTTGTGTTCATGTCGACTTCACTTTAATTCTGTTGTGGTCTTTCAGTCAAGGTTCACAAAAAAAAACAAATGGTATCTCAAAATGAATATTCCAGACATTCATAACCAAGTAACCTATATAAATCATTTATTATCAAAAGGGTCTGTATGTCATAAATTAAGATGTTTAAGACGAGTGACAGACAAAGGTTTAAAGGGTCGCAATAGGTCTTTCCCTTGCTTTACTTTTATAAGTATGGACATGTTATTTTATAGTCATAGAATGTTATTTTGAAACAAGTATTTTTCTTATCTATAAAATTCAATGGGGTTCAATGTTGTTTGTCCTTCAGAATATCATTTTTGTGTTCCGTAGGAGAAATGCACATTTGGAACATGACGGTAAATTAAAGGTGCTGTATGTAATTATTTTGACTGTACTAAAGCATAAAATACCATAATATATTTGTAGATATTTAGGAAACGTTAAGTTCTCTGAAAACAATGCTACAGGCAGCTATTCTACTTCGAAATGTGCGTTCCATGTCAGAATGTCTGTTTTTGTTTTGGTCTGTGACTCCGCCCACTGCCAGTTTAACCAATAGTATTTGACACCTAGGGTTGCCAGTTGTAGCCATGGAAGCCTGCAAACAAACTGATTCAGAGATTGCAGATTCTATCCAACATAAAAAGCCTCTGCATCCATTTAATAAGCTCTATGACCAGGGAAATATTAAAAAACATAAATCAACATCTACAGTGTAAGGCTCATCGCCTTCCATTGTCAATTGCGCTCGTTCCTATAGTCCTCAATCTGGCAACCCACGTGAGCATCATCTGAATTTGGACTGCTGCAGTACCCATTTCAACCACTAGCTTTCAATTTAAATACAGCACCCTTTAAGTCAATTTTCATTTTGGTTCGAACAATTGAAGCATTACAACCATACAGAAATCAACAAAGAAAAAAACCCGAATAAATATCTATTTCCACACCTTATATAGGCTGCCATTTGTCAGGAATGAAACATTCCACAAACACACCAAGATGTGTTTTTTTTCTGGTTTGTAAAGTGTATAAATGACCGTCCAAATTGTGCGAGTCACAAACATGATGGTTTATGTTCATTCGTCTCCTTCTGAAGACTCCTCAGCCTCCTCTATCCATTGGATGAACTTCAAGAGCTGTAGAAAGACAAGACATAACCACATAGTTAACATAGTCCTCTTTCACCCAGATTTCAGTCCATTCCCAGAAAACTTGTTCTGGTAACTCCTCTGGCGTTGTGTGATTTTGACGAGTCACGCTGCTTTCACAACTTTCCCATGTTCTGTGCTTTCATCAACACACATCACTGACAGCCCAGTAAAGACAGCTTGTAATTTGACAGCAAAGATCAGAATTAAAAATCTAGTGTAAAAGTTTCAAGAATCGCACCCCTTGATTCCTGCGGAGCTGTTGGCTCTTGTCTGTGGTGGTGCTCTGTCTGAACCAGCTCATGATGCCTTCCTCCTCCAAGATCTCCAGCTGGTACATACTCATCAGCACCTGAAGTGCACACACATCACGTACAATCAGCAAGGGAACGTGTGTTATGGTTCACTGCAGAAAAAGAGACGGCTCACTTTGACCAAAGCTGCCCAATGAGTTTCACGTTCGAGGAAAACCTCCTCCATGGAAGCAAGACAGTCCAGTTGGTCTTGAGGTCTCTTCACATAGTTCTTGAAGACTGGCGCCCACTTCTTCAACAACTGTGAGGAAAAATACAGGGACTGTTATCAGCATCTTCTGCTGTAGTCAAATAGTCAAGTCCGCTTTATTTCTATAGCACTTTTATACAATACAGACCGCCAAAGCAGCTTTAAATAGCAGAATCAGTTATCCACCTAATTTTTCCCGTAAATGTGTAAATTAGTAAATTTTAAAAAAACTGCACATTTTAGATGTACTGTACAAATTCTCTGAAACGCCTTTGGAGACGGCTTATGGTAGAGAAATGAACATTCAATAACGAACATTCAATAATCATGCTGTCTAATCAGCATCTTGATATGCCACACCTGTGAGGTGGATGGATTATCTCGGCAAAGGAGAAGTGCTCACTAACACAGATTTAGTCAGATTTGTGAACAATATTTGAGAGAAATAGGCCTTTTGTGTACATAGAAAAAGTCTTAGATCTTTGAGTTCAGCTCATGAAAAATGGGGGCAAAAACAAAAGTGTTGCGTTTATAATTTTGTTCAGTGTATTATCCTAATTAAGAACACACTGGTTTGTAGTGCAAACAGTTTTATGTTCGCTGCACTTTGTGCACACAGCGGCTAATGAACCGCAAGTCTCACACATTGACAGAAAAAAGGCCTACTTCCTCAGAGAAAAATAAGGTGGAGGGAATCTCATCTATGAAGGCAGTTCAGATTCCTAAAACAGTTCAAATACTGAAAACTAAATGTACAGGTGAAACATCTGATTTGAATGATACATATCCAGAAATTCAAGTTTTCTGTTAGTATGATGGATTTCTGATGGAGTTCACTGATTGAAATCATTGCAGATCAGGCTTAGGGCAAAAAAGGCCACCAAAATGAACAAAAATGCCCCCAAATTCAAGATAAAGTGGCCTCTGTACAACAAAACTAAATTGAATATGACGGTCACAATTAAAGTGAGTAATGAAAATGATGGTGGCATTACATTTAGATCTGCTCATGCTGCAAAGATTTATTTTTTACACAGCATTGAGCATCACAACCAATCATACATGCTTCTGTTGCACGTATGAATGCAATCATTACAATATCAAGAGCCAACGATAATGGCTGAAATTATTATCAGAAGACTTTTGCACAAGAATGGCACTTTTTATTCTTTAAGTGTTAAAGGGATAGTTCACCTCGAAATGAAAATGGTCATCATTTATTCACCCTCAAGCTGTTCCAAACCTGTATGAGTTTCTTTCTTCTGTTGAGCACAAAAGAAGATATTCTGGAAAACGTTGGTAACCAAACGCTGGTCCCCATTGACTTCCATGGAAGGGAAAATGAAACTTATAGAAGTCAATAGGGACCAGCAACTGTTTGGATACCAACATTCTTCAATATACCTTATTTTATGTTCATAAAATACAATCCTGAAAAAAGTTGGGAGATGTTTTGCTTTAACCCTGGACATGTCAAGCAGTCACACTCACAGGCAGCAGGTGCGATGAATACTGAGCTGTGCTTATCTGAGCCCCCTGCTGGTGGAAAGGAAACTCGAGCACAACTCGAATCAAGATCTGCATAACCTCCTTCAGAGAAATGTTGTAGGCGTACCTGAGAAGAGACAATGACATTTACCTCATCATGCAAGTAGTATGACTTTTGTGTAGCCATAAACATTTTGTGTGAGGAACAGATAGAAAAAAGCCTCCATTTACTTGAAGTCTTCAAACTCTCAAATCTCATTCTTAATTTTTCAGAATCAAATCAGCACACTGACACGTAGCAAAAGCAATGTCATTTGGCCGCGCCACAAGGTGCAGAAAAACATACGCTATTTGCGTCCAGCGGATACTCTCCAAAATGGCACTACGTTGACGTAGAGAAGACAAATTGTTGAATAAAGTTGTTTTTGTTTTCTTCGCGTACAAAAAGTATTCTCGTCACTTCATAACGTTACGGTTGAACCACTTTTACGGTTGAACCACTGATGGCAGATGGACTATTCTGACTAGTCACAAGCCTCCCGGTTTTCTTACAAAATATCTTAAATTGTGTTCCGAAGACGAACGAAGCTTTTACGGGTTTGGAACGACATGGGGGTAATTGATTAATGACAATTTTCATTTTGGGGTGGAGTAACCCTTTAATGTCACATTCTCCATTAAAAACCCTCAAAATGATGTATGATTTGTTGGAATAGGACGAAAAATGACCGAGCTACACCCGTTAGAAGTCGACAGAGTCAGCAAACTCAATTTTGAGAAAAATCGAGTTTAAGTTTTCTGAAGGTTCCAGAGCAAAATCACCAAGCAACATTGCATCTTTTCCTCCGAATACAAATCTTTGTTATTATAAATAAGAACATATGAAAAAAGCAGTAGAACAAATAAGAAAGAAACAAATAATGCATTAACTTTTTCATTTTACATCTAAACATATGCATTCAAGTAAGAAAAACAGAATCAAATGTAAAAATCCCTTTTGTGTGTTCATTACAAATAAATCGATTATTAAAACTACAAAAGCAGTTCAATCAAGAACGAGTGATTCCCTCTTTTCTGTTATTGTTTGATTAACACTGAGACAGACGGCCTATATATGAAGACTTACTGTAATGCACGAATCTAATATAATGTTACACATCAGATGTTTTTCCCCAACAGTTCCCAAACGTTCACTTAAAACATAACAGATTATGTTTGTGTGAATACTTAAAAACTGTAATTATGTGTGTGTGTACATTTATCGCTGTGTATATATCTTTTATGCGTGCGCTTCGGATGACAGTCGGCGCGAGAAGCGAGCGGAGAAAAGGTACTCCCCTCAGAAAACACACAAATAAAGATAATTTTAGATGTTTAATTACTATTTGGAGCATTGGGATCGCTAGACGAGGGCTTAATCAACTCATTTTTGTTAAAACCTCAAATTCGACTAAAATTGACATTTTTCACTTTTGTTTTTGTGCCTGTAGCTCAAAATTAGCCTGTGCGCATTCACACTCATTTTGCCAGCACAGGTCACATATGATACTTTTATACTGTTTATTTTTCGTAGCTTGACAGCTGAGGTCACTATGAACTGTTATTGGACAAGAGCTCTGTGAACATTTTGCAAAGCATCTCATGTTATGTGTCAGAGAAAAAGCAGCATATGGATTTGCAACAAGAGGCAAGTAATCTCTTAATTTTCAGGTGAACCATTCTATTAACTGGAATGTTTAAATAAATCCAAAGTTCTATCATGAAACTCTAGATGGTGCAGTCCGATAGGTTCCAACTCAATCTGACATAATCACATCATTATTCACATGGTGCAGCTGATTGGTTCTTTTTGTATCAGCAGCCAATGAGCTCGCTGCACAACATTCAAATACTCGGCTAGTGCTTGCTGTAGCAGTTGCAGCGCACTTCAGAAACCCTCCATCTTCCCCAGCTCCACCTGTATAGATCTGCTATGGAGTGATTTCATGTATGTTATATATGGGGGTTATTTCACATATGTTATATGTGCAGCAGCAGGATTTCTTACATGCTCACAGCAGCATGTTGTGGATGTATTGGCAGTAGCAAGTCTCGGTACTACTCGGCTAGTGCTTGCTGTAGCAGTTGCAGCGCACTTCAGAAACCCTCCATCTTCCCCAGCTCCACCTGTATAGATCTGCTATGGAGTGATTTCATGTATGTTATATATGGGGGTTATTTCACATATGTTATATGTGCAGCAGCAGGATTTCTTACATGCTCACAGCAGCATGTTGTGGATGTGTTGGCAGTAGCAAGTCTTGGTACTTGCTCTGCAGCAGCAGTGTAGCAGATCTATTCCGCCAAGACCAAACACATTAACACTGCCACATACATTACCATGCTAAACCCTCAAGAGAGTTGTCATGACAGAACTGGAACTGTGTATGTACTCACTTGAGTGAGTTGATCTCAAGTACCAGATTGTCACAGCTTATGTTCTCATCCAGCCCTCTCTGTAACGTACCATGAACCTCATTCTGAAACACTGAGGGGAAAGAACAGTTAGTATGAAACTGGGAGATCTGAGTGATGTTAGAAAGGATGAATAGAGCTCTGATAAATATTTATGTAAGATATATGGTCGCAACTCTTTTACACTTCTCACCTTTGACATCATCCAGTTCAGGTGATGCAGGGTGGCTTCCCAGGTCATGTGATCCCTCACTGACCTCACTTTCACTGTCACTCTCTGGGTCAGGATTCAACGCTAGGCCTGGAAACATGATATCATCATCAATGCCTGTTTATTTAACTTCATCTCATTAAAAAAACCTGTATACACCTTTCCCATTCCCGGGTCAGTTTTGATCCGGTGAAACTTGAGCGTATAGACCTTATGTAGCCCCGCCCCTTTTCAGCGCTGCGCTTGTTGTCTTCAGTTTTCCTTTTGTAGTTCACGAATTTATTAATGAACCGCTCGTTTTAAAATCTTCCCGGTCTACTGACATTTATGACATCCGCCTCGAACATTACATTGCTCATGATAACTTTCGTTAACTTTAAAATATGTAAATCCACTTCTTCACCAGCTAGTTACTGAGATTTTTTTTTCAGTACTCATGAGACACTTTATTTCAATGACTTTTATGAAATTTCTAAGAACATATAAACTGATAATTATCTGTATTAACTCAGTTGGAATGAAGGGAATTTAATTACATTTCTCTGAACTTTGTGAATACTTCATATTCTTTTTCTAACAAAACATCAAAACAATATAATAAATTCATCAAAACAAAACATATCCATTTTACTTGCATAAACTATCACTTTCAGCCTGAACCTGCAATGTTTCATCAACAGGTGCAAGCAGAATGAAATGTGGACCCCTTTGGGCTGTAGTTCATTAGATATGGTTTATTTGTAACATATTACATCTTTTGTCTGTTTATAGTGTCTTTGTGCATGCACAGTCAAATTTACAAGAAATTAAATCATACAATTGTATGTGTATAAATGTATTTTACATAAGTAAAATGAGACCAATTTAACTGATAGATGTAAAAAAACAACAACAACAACAAATTCTGCATAACTTCACATGTAAAGCCACAGTTCACTTCCATGTCAAAACTGACCTGAATGCAAAAGGTGTAACAATTTAAATGGTTATATCTCCTAAAAACGTATTTTAAAAAATCTAAATAAATAAACAAATGTGTATTTTTTGATAGCCTTAATTCTTATGCAAAGTTTTTTCCCGTACTTAAAACCATGGATTTATTTATTTTTTTTGACATTTTTATGCAGCATTCTGGGTCAAAACTACAACAGGAGGGTTAAATTCATTATGTCGTCTGACACTTTCCAAAGACTTCTGAAGTCACTAAATAGCTTTGTGTGAGGAACTGACTGAACTTTAAGTCGCTATGTTAACTGCATTTATAGTATAGAGTCAGTTTAAGTCAATTAGTTGCGAGTTGTGAACAAATTTATAGACTAGACCAGTATAGCAACTCTTTAAAATCCTTTGTGAAGAAAAAAGTGCTCCAAGTTTGGAACAAGGGTGAATAAATGAGGACAATATTTCGAGTATATCTTGAATCGAAGACATCTCACCCCAAATGCATTCAGCAAGCTCATCTTCCTCTGTGTCATCAAGACTGCTGGTCTTCCATCTGTATCCTTTACCCTCTGAACCAACCTCTGCTGGGTTAAACACTGATAAAACGATCAAAAAAAACTAAAATGACACTTTGCCCATGCATGTGAATGACATCCAAAATGTTCAGTTTTTAGAGGAAGTAATGTTCATCGTCATCTTTTTTCTATCAGGAATATAAGATCAATTTATTTTAATGCATGCTTGTTACACAAGTATGTACTGAGTAATATTAAGTTACATATACTTACTATAGATTTAGTATTACTTGCTTGTAATTATCCATACTTTACTGCTACTACTTTATGTATCATGTGACAAGGACACATTTAAATAGTGTTTCAGATTTTCAACCCACAAATTAAGATCAAGTCAGTGACCATCAGCATTTAAATCAGTGTCAGTGTGAACGACACAATCACAGAGCATTGTACAGAATGTGTACTTCGTTATGTCCACATAAGAAAATAAGATGAGCATGAACCTTTCTGTTTGGTTTTGTCTTTACTGTGGCCAACATCGTCATCGCTCAAGAACTCATCCTCATCTTCATCATCCTCTTCATCTGGATGGTGCATGGACAGAACTGTGCCTTCCTGAAGAGTAATATCTGGACCCACCACAACCTGCATATCAACATTTCTTTAGAAAACAAGGAAACTGGCCAGCGATTTGGACACACAGTGAAGAATATTTAATGTAAAATAAACTTGTGTTTCATTAAGCCTCTATTTTGATCATCAATTTAAGGACCAAATAATCATTTAAATAAATCTGGACACCTTTAAGTTTATTTAGCTTTCCTATATTTAATATATACATTTTAAAATATATTGTATATTTAGTTTATATATTATATAAAATATAGAATCACATTGTTTTTTTTAAAATTCTGAATAGACAACAAATCAAAGTAATTTACTAGAGGTTCTGAGAAAATGTTAATTGCTTTTTATAAAATTGGTTTGAGTGACAGATTCAGTGACTCACTCATAAAAGACTTCACTTGCTTCATTACTGGATGAATCCGTTTTTTTTTATGAATCTCTTGAATGAATGATTCAATGACTCACTCATTGACTTCACTTGCTTCATTACTGGATGAATCAGTGTTGTTTTTTTAATGAATCTCTTGAATGAATGATTCAATGACTCACTCATTGACTTCACTTGCTTCATTACTGTTTGAATCAGTGTTTTTGAACATATATTGTATATTTAGTTTATATATTATATAAAATATAGAATCCTATTTTTTTTTTAATTCTGAATAGACAAATCAAAGTAATTTACTAGAGGTTCTGAGAAAATGTTAATTGCTTTTTATAAAATTGGTTTGAGTGAAAGATTCAGTGACTCACTCATAAAAGACTTCACTTGCTTCATTACTGGATGAATCAGTTTTTTTTTTTTCTGAATGAATCTCTTGAATGAATGATTCAATGACTCACTCATTGACTTCACTTGCTTCATTACTGTTTGAATCAGTGTTTTTGAACATATATTGTATATTTAGTTTATATATTATATAAAATATAGAATCCTATTTTTTTTTTAATTCTGAATAGACAAATCAAAGTAATTTACTAGAGGTTCTGAGAAAATGTTAATTGCTTTTTATAAAATTGGTTTGAGTGAAAGATTCAGTGACTCACTCATAAAAGACTTCACTTGCTTCATTACTGGATGAATCAGTTTTTTTTTTTTCTGAATGAATCTCTTGAATGAATGATTCAATGACTCACTCATTGACTTCACTTGCTTCATTACTGGATGAATCAGTTTTTTTTATGAATCTCTTGAATGAATGATTCAATGACTCACTCATTGACTTCACTTGCTTCATTACTGGATGAATCAGTTTTTTTTATGAATCTCTTGAATGAATGATTCAATGACTCACTCATTGACTTCACTTGCTTCATTACTGGATTAATCAGTGTTTTTGAACAAATCTCTTAAAAGAATGATTGAAATACATTTTTTAACAGTCACTCGTAATTGATGTGATCTTTAACTGAAGCGTCAAGTTACTTTGATTTGATTTGAACTGTTCTTGTCTGTAATTTGAGGCTGTGCTGTGGCGTCTTACGTTGTAGGCGAGCACACACTGCTCATTCAAAACGACTCCGTGTTTCACCTCCACATTATCACAGATAACCGACTGCTTGACCTTCACATCGTTGGCTATGTGGACTCTGTTCCATATGTAAGCTCTATCCAGAGTAACATTGTCGCCTAAGTAGACAAAACAGCAGTTAGCAGGATGTCAAAAAAACAGATTTTAACACTGTTACATGGTATTTTACACATAAAAAATGATAACTGAACTGAGTTTTAGAAGGCATGGATTGTGTGATTACACATGCATAGCACAAAAAATATACGAGAGTAGGCCTGGGCAAAATGGCTAAAAACATAATTTTTCGCCTTTATTTTAACACAATATCCATTACATTCATTTACCATAATGGAGAAGGAAATGCTTTCCATGTTTATTAGACTTTGAGAATGGATGTAAACAATACAAAAACATTGTTTGTTCACAAATAAACTCCACAGAGTAGCTACCTTATAATTTAGGGCCCCATAAAATTAATTTTATTTTTCCCTAAATTCTGTTTTCCATTGTTTTTTCTGGATTCTGTGTTTTTTAATTTAATACAAATCAAATTTATCATCAAAAATCATGTCTAATGAAATTAATTAATAGTACATCAAATAAGAAGCTGCATGGCAGAAACTATCTCAGTTGTATGATATTCCTTAAAAATAAAAATAAGATTATTATTACTTTGAGAAGTAAATTTAGTATACAATAGTACTATATATTTCAGTCATAATTTCTTCAAGTTAAGCCAAAAATGTATTTTGGTGGGATTGTTGTGAGGATCTTCGAGCTTCAGTGTGTATTTGATGTTTTTCCTCAAATGAAACGGTTTAAAGCTGCTGAAGTGACTCTCAGAGCAGCTCTGGAGATGACGTTCATGTGTTCATATCTCATATATTGTGACAGACACTGAAAACACCGTGAGCGTCACACATGTATTTGAGTGCTGTAGTCACATCTACTACACAAACTCATTCACATGACATGCACTGACTGGCTGCTGTTGCGTTTATTTCTGCTGTGTGATTGGCTGTTAGATTCATCCATATCGAGTAAAAATGTGCAGTTTATTGGCATTATCGACAAACTTTTATGCCATCTTAACATGATATCGTTTCATCGCCCAGCCCTACAATATCATGAACCGAAACAAAATAATTTCATATTAAGACCATACCGATGACACAGTTTGCACCAATCACAGTGTTTGATATGGTGCAGTTTGCTCCGATCATTGTATTTCGGCCAATAAGCACATTTTCCTCCATCTGGCTGCCGTGACCCAGACTGACCCCTGGCTCACGGTACACATTATGTCGAGAGTGAGTACAGCTCTGGCCTTCCTGGTCTGCAAAGTTGGCCTCGGGTGTGATGGGATAGACCCAGCGGCGGATCGTGTCGGAAGAGACGGTGTCGTACATGAGGAGGTTCGACACACAAGCACCATATCCATCTTTAGTGACATGCATATGGATCTGGTTTCCCAGGATCTAGTGGAAGAAACTCTGTCAGATAATATACGAATTCATAAATAAGCAAGTCACTTGATTCTGCGTTTCATACCTCTTCATTGACTAGAAGCCCACGGACAAAGTCATTTTTTGTCTGGTAGTCAAAGTTGTCTGTGAAAAGCTCAGCAACCTACGTTAAACAACATTCACTTTTATCGAGCAATGTGTTTATAATTTAAACAAACATGCACAACTGTAACGCAAACGAATGCTCACCTGTGGAGAACAGATGCTAATATGACAATCCAAAAGATCAAACCTAATTTCAAACTCATCACTTCCACTATGGAAAATATTCTGTGTGGGGAAAAGAAGGAATAATTATAATCACTAAATGCAATGATTTCTATTTGCTTTGAGCTGTCTGGGATTTTGTTTTTTAAACATTATGGTCTTATTTGTTGTGCTGTCTGATTTTCATGACTGCAATAACCTTTATTTGATTAATAACCTTCATTTGATCATTAATTATCATTAGTAAGAATGGGTATTACAAGATCAAAAGTAAAAGAGGAGTAATGCTACTAGTTCTCTATGCAAAGAGGAAACTTCAAGAGATTCGACCACAATGTTAGTAAGTGTGCATTGATCAATTGTTTTTAACATTAATAATAATATAAATGTTTCTTGAGAACCAAATCAGCATATTAGAATGATTTCTGAAGGATCATGTCACACTGAAGACTAATGGTGCTGAATATTCAGCTTTAATCACAGGAAAAATAATAATATTTTAAAATATTGTAAAATAGTTATTTTAAATAGTAAACTATTTTACTAGATTACATTTTTTACTGTATTTTTGATAATACAAATAAATGCAGCCTTGGTGAGCAGAAGAGGCGTCTTTCAAAAACATAAACGCCCCGTATAAATGACAGACTTTTGAATAGTAGTGTGCAAGTGGATCAAAACCTTTCATCAAAGTTGTCCTAAAACCTAAAAACCAAAATGCGTTCTTGTCTTAGGACAACTTCGATGAACTTTTTTGATCCACTTCAAATGTTGACTACTGTATATACACACACTAAAATAATCCAAATTAAGACAGATGGGCTTGTATAATAATTAGACATTTTTTATTAACCTTTTTTAAAACAAAGAGCAATAGAAAAAAAATGTTTAAATTTACCCACTGTATTTTTTAATTAACCCAATTTATTGAGCCAAACAACAAATATGCTTTGTTTTAACAGTCAACCACAAAATAAAAATTAAACAAATATCTAATATTTTATATGCAGATTAAATAGGCCACAGGAGCAGCGCATTAAATTGTCAACGCAAGGAAATAACGGTCTATAAAAAACGTGCATTACGTTTAAATTAAATCATATAAATCTTTATTTTTCAAATATAGTCACCTTTATTTGACACTCTAACTCTAGCACTTTCTATTCTATTTTAATTCTACTTTATCTATATGAATCTTCTTATTTAAAAAAAAAAATCATATTTTTTCACTAAAAATATTTTTTTCTATTCTATCTACTTGTTTTTCTTTGTGTGTGTGTGTGTATATGTGTATAATATATGTATGTATGTGTGTGTATATATATATGTATATATGTGTATGTGTGTGTTGTGTGTGTATATGTATATGTGTGTATGTATATATATATATATATATATATATATATATATACACACATATATACACCTTGCTACGTGTACTGTGTTAGGCTAACCGAGACTTATCATTTGCACTTATATATTGTTGCTCTTTTGTTAGTTTTGACTTCTTTTATTGTCCTCATTTGTAAGTCGCTTTGGATAAAAGCATCTGCTAAATGACTAAATAAATAAATCAAATATAATTTCGTAAATTGCATAAACAATTATGAACAAAACAGCATCATGTTTTTATGCATTGCTTAATACAAAGAGCTGAATCGCCCGTCACGCAGATTGCCCTTTAAAACATATGAGATGCAGTGAAAAGGAACAAACCTTCACAAATTCGCGATGTGTTTTCTAAAAGTTTAAACGTTTTTAACTTTGCATGGCTACATCTCTTGTGTGAGACGCGAGTGCAGCAGTCATATTTGTCCGTCTAAAATGCGCTGAATATGCGTTCTGTGTGAAGGGCTTGGTTTCGGTTTGAACCTAATCAAGATCTTCTCCGCATTGAGCTGCTATATTTCTCTAATATTTTGAATGAAAAATGCAGCAGTGGCGCATCTCGCGGGCTAGACTAACAAAACATTAAAATGCAACAACGTCACTTACATCATCACCGTGTCTCGTGCGCCACTGATGACGCTCCCTGATGCACACACAACATTTGATTTTACTATTTTTGCATTCAAATGCATGTGTTTATTTTAAATTCGACTACTATTCATTTTTTTGTATTCACAATCTCCTCAACACAGGCAGGCAGAGCACTCAATTCAGCATGTGCTCGTGGGCTGTCTGCGTCACTAATAGCACGTGCCTATATCGAACATTTTTTCTATCGTTATCGAAGAAGGTGTACCGTCGATAAATACCGATACCGTTTTATCGCCCAGGCCTAATAACAACTATGTATGTCATACTGAGATTTTTTTTTTTAATTAACTACATTTACTGTACATTTTATGACACTTTTTGCATCATCGGTATGAGATTGGTTTATGAAATTGGCAAATTGAAAGATCACCGATAGCGATCGGTACCCAATTGATCAGAGCACCCTTAAATATTAGTAAAATATCTCACCATAGGGAAGTGAAGTTTCTTTAAGGCCTGTGCTCTCTGGTAATGAAGAATGCGTTTGCTCTTGCTGTCCATAGCTACTATAATGTCATCGTCTTCACAGCGAGTCTTGTGACCAGGCGGAGACTCTTTGAAGATCATGGTCATCACTGAGATATTCTTCTCCATTTTGCGTCGCTGTCTGTGCAAGAAAGTCAAAATTGTATTAATGATATATAAATGATAAACTATGGAACTTTTATAGACAGGGTCTGTGGGGGAGCGACACTCACCTGTGTTCCTGTAAAGCCTGGGAAACATCGATGTTGGACACCACGTCCCCATACACCAGCAGAAAGTCCGAGCGGACGAGAGCTTTGGCGTCCACGTCCCTCAACACATCCCCGAGAGAGCGGTACAGGTCAGAGGTGATGACGTGCACCACATTTGGAGATGTGGGGCGACACCATTTGGACTTTCTGTGAAATAAGACGACAAATGCTGAGTGATCAGAGTCACAGCCATTCAACAGCATCATTAAAAACATCACAGCATCTTACTGTAAGTGTTCCTTTATTTTGCTGGACATCCAGCAGCAGAAGACAAACGTCTCTTGCACTCCAGTAGAGGTCAGAAACTCTAATGTGTAGTCAATCATGGAGACATTAGCCAGAGGTAGAAGAGCCTGGGGGGGGGGACAAGAGTGAAAAGTTAGTCTATAAATAGTCTAGAACGCTGAATTAAAAAGGTAACAAGTAATACTCTTCATTTAGAAAAACAGTCTATGCTAGTACCATTGTACAGTTCTCTTTTGTGTCTTCTTGTGCTTGAATGGACAAATAAACACAAATTATGTCAAAATACTCATCTTGGCAAGCAACTTCTAGTCTATCAACACATTAGATCTGTGCATTAGGGCTTGTGACTCGCATGTCTGTCATTAATGTTAGCAAAACAGCAAAAGAAAGAGAAAATCACTTACTGCTCTTGACTGAATAACTTAATAGTTTTTAAAAGGATTACTCTACATTTAATTTGTACAGAGAGAACTATGCAGTGTTATATCTGATTATTCAATTTCTGTACCTCAATTCTACTGTTAGATCTACCTGAAAAATTGAAAACACTGTTTATTTCATTTGTATCTTTGCTGAAACGCATTTTTTGTGCTATTGCTTGTAATTTGTTATTATTTTATTACTGATTGTTGATTTATCTTTAGTAATGTCTGAACTTTATATTAGTTAGCAGTCTTTGCTGTGGTATCAAAATGGGTCAAAACAATGACAACCATAACTTTTTATTCTATTTTATCCATTTATTATATTGTGTCAGGGCTAGTGAAAATGTTGGTAGCACAAGTAATTTTGTTTATTATTATTTTAATTATTTTTTTCCCATGCAGATGCACAAAATCACATCACTTACTCTAGAAAGATTACTTATTTTCAAATAAAGCTATTCAAGTCATCTGGTGAAAATTCCTGTACATTTTAATATTGCAGACAAACAAAACATTGCAATGCCATTCCAATATAGTGCAGTTAATAGTTACCAATAACCAAGTTATTTTAAAAGTACTAGTACCATACTTTTATGGTACCAGTCCAAAAAAAGGTAAGATAAAATAGCATTAGACACCAACAATATCATGTTACTCGATTACCATGTTCACCTAGCATGGTATATAAATGGTACACAAAGGTACTTTTAAGGACACTGTACTATTACTAAGCAAAAAGCAGGGGAAAGTTATGAACAATAACATAGATAACATTCTCCTTACTCAGATGCATTTTCAGATGCTTTGGTGCATTTTCAGATGCATTTTTTTCAGGTGCATTTTCAGATGCTTTGGTGCATTTTTTCAGATGCATTTTCACATGCTTTGGTGCATTTTCAGATTAAATAAAATGTTATTTTTTCCTCCCAGACATTTGGTGTTGTCTGTTTTAATTATTCTGGATTTATGATTTAATACAAATTTATTATCAGTGGTAATCAAATAAAGGGAAAAAAAACATTAACAATTTAATTAATCTTTTAAAATGAAATCCAATTACAATTTAACAATTCTCACAATTTTTTGGCAGACAAAGTTTACCTTTAAAATTAAAACATGGAAGAAAGTGTGTTATTTTATTCTCCTTACTCAGCTAAAATTGCATATACACAAATCAAAATACTTTAAAGTGAAACCCAGGTTGTCACAATGACTTTCTTTCTTATATAACAGCCCATAAATTATAAAAAATAAATAAAATGCAGTACTTTTTAGCATATTGATCTAAAAAAAAAATATATATATATATATCGAACCTACTGTATTGTTGTTGCCATGTTTGCACATGACAAGTTGTACAGTTAAAATACAGACAAATAAACAAAAAGTTAGCCACAGCACCATGTCCAGAACACATGATGCTCGCGATGAAGCTGTGTGTTTTGTGCAGTTCTCACCCGAGGCTGGTCTTTGCTGATGGGGAAGAACCTGCGGTTGAAGCTGTCTGCGACGAGAACGGCCTGCAGCAGCGGCTGCTCCTCTTCATCCTTCTCCGCCTTTCTAGGGCGACTCTGCTTCCCTGCTTTGCCTGCCATGTTTGTCAGCGAGGTCTGCTGGTTTGGTGACCCGGAAGTTATCTCTAATTAGTAAGTTTTAATGTTTCTAATATGAATTCTCCAGTTTTAACTCTTAACTGCGTAACGTCCGTTTAATGTCTATTCCCGTTTTTCAGTGTCCGTATTCATTTAGAAATTGTTGTTCAAGCTGCCGCTGGAGAGCAGCGTAAACGGCGCTGTCAGGTGACACATGTTACTTTTCTCAGCGCTGGATCAGGATGGACCAATCACAAGCCGCGTCTCATTTCGAAAGCCCCGCCCTCTAGAGGTCACATTTATTGCTATTAAGTAGTCTTTTGTAGCCTTAAAACTACTGTGGTATTAATAATTTATTTACCACAGAGCAGTATCGACGTTTTTCCACTCAGGTTTCAAAGCAGGTTCAAAGGATAAATAAACTAGAAACTAACAGTGTCTTTTGCTAACTTGACGCAGCTCAACAGAAGACTGTTGTCATTATTCAGCTCAAATGAGTTCTAGGTTGATTCAACAGTCCTGAATCAGCGTATTATGAGTGATGAGGATTTATAAGTTTAAAAGCTAAATGTTAAGAATAAAAGTATAGTAAGAAAGAACGTGCACATGTTAGTACAAATTTTAAGTTCTGAATGAAAGCAAGTGATTTTCACAGTCATTACTGGTATAATTTAAAATGTCTCGGCACAACTGGTAAAATGGACTGTTTGAGGCACTTTGTTGTTTAGTGATGTTACGTTCATGAACGAATCGTTATTTTTGAACGAATCTTTTAGGTGAACGAATCGTTCTCGTTCACGTAATCCATTGATTCATATTTCTCGTCCACTGAAATTCCTCCCTCCAGAGCAGCTGTTAGCAGCGCATGCGCAGCTCAGTGAACCGGGTAGCTCTGTGGACTGTTTCATCCTGTCAAAGAATGATTAAAACCTCGAGCCAATAGCCTTCGAGTATGAGATGTGACGGAGCATGTGATTTGTTGAATGTAGTGAACGAATACGCCCTTCACTGAACAAGTTTCTTTTGAGTCTGAACGAGATCAAGAGATCATCTCGTTCGTGAACGAGATGACCGAACTGATACATGTCGTTCGTGAATGAAATGACTGAACTGGTACATATCTCGTTCGTGACCGAAATGAATGAGAGTGTACCGGGTCAGTCGTTACGTTCGTGAACGAATCGTTATTTTTGAACGAATCTTTTAGGTGAACGAATCGTTCTCGTTCACGTAATCCATTGACTAATTTCTCGTTCACTGAAATTCCTCCCTCCAGAGCAGCACGGCACTATTAGCAGCGCATGCGCAGCTCGGTGAACAGCTCTGTGGACTATTTCATCCTGTCAAAGAATGACTAAACCTCGAGCCAATAGCCTTCGAGTTTGAGATGTGACGGAGCATGTGATATGCTAAATGTAGTGAACGAATACGCCCTTCACTGAACGAGTTTCTTTTGAGTCTGAACGAGATCGAGAGATCTTCTCGTTCGTGAATGAAATGACCGAGCTGGTACATATCTCGTTCGTGAACGAAATTAATTGAGAGTGTACCAGATCAGTCGGCCACTTAGCATGTCAGTCTCGATCAGCAATCAGCAGAAAGCGGATGCAAAGCGCAGTTATAGGTACTGTGCACTCTATACGCTGGTTTATATATTCATAATTAGCATACAGAACATAACTCCACGTTTAATCCCCGATTTATGAATGTGTAATTGTCTGACCAAACAATTAAAATGTTAATTATGCAAGAAAACCTCGTGCTTTGGTCATCTGAACAACTTTAGACTTTATTTATTTAATGAATAGATTATGCACACATTTTAATAAAGCCAAATCAGTTTTGTAACAAGTGAATATGTTCGTTGACTTAAGACATAACACATAAGACACTCTATTTATGTAATATGAAGATATGGTCACTGAACGAATCAGTGAACGAATCTGAACGAATCATTTTGGTGAACGAACTGAAAATGAACGAATCTCTTGAAAGAATCCAAATTTCAACCACTAATGTTGTTGTTAAATAGAATGGAATATATTTTTTTGTTCCTGTTTGTATTTTTATATCACAATGGTACAGCATTTTTTACTTTGGTTAAAGTAATCTAAAAAAGTAATCAGAAAGTACTCAGATTATGTTGTGTAATTAACAGATTACATTACTGACTTCAACTTTCATTATTTAATTTGTAATGGAGTAATGGATTGGTCAAATCCCTTTGTGTTGAGCTCTGTTTTTTTCCCCACGGTCCAGTTGCACTTTTAGATAATGGCAACACTTCTATCGAATGAAAAGAAATAAGTCAAACTACTTCGACTAAATGACTAAAGAGTTCCTTGTTACAGTACTAGGGCCAAGTCTTGATGACATTTCCTCAGATAAAGTGTGTCCTCCGATTGTCTTAGCGTGTTTGTTAACATTGGATTCAGAACGTACAGGTTCATTAGCACAAAAAAACATGACTAACTTTGAGCAATCTTATCAGAAACAACAGAAAATGAATAACGACAAAAACAAAAGTTAAATAAGATACAAAATGATGTTTCACTTCTGGTAAAAAATAATTTTGGGCAACACTACTTGAAGACTGTATTTATATTATACAGATTTTCATACGTTGCATTATATAAAACCGAAGTTAAAATACATTATAATAGTTGCAGATTTGTTGTTACATCTAAAATTGGTTGTTTGTCATGTTTTCCAATCCATTATACTTATACTAAAGCATGAAAATAAATAGATAAGTATTATACTTATTCATAATACCATAAAATAGTGCATTTTAGGGTGCATTGGAAAGCATAAAAATACTTTCTTAATGCATCATATATAAAGGCTTCAAGTAAAGTGCTACTGAATTTTCATTCGGGTTTCTACAGCTCCTGAGTTACAAAGGAAAGCATTTGCAAGTTACCGCACCACTGGATTTTCACAACATCTGTAAACTTCTTAAAAGTTGATCTCAAATGTCTTGATCATCAGCCATTAATATCTGAAAACTGATCAAGTCTGACATCATCTCTAGACATTATAAACTGTATTTTGCAAATGTTCATGGATAATACAGTGGTTTAGGTCAGTTTCTGTTGTGACGGCACCAAATGATACATCAAACATTATTAAATCGGGTAAAACACACACAGAAGACAGTCTTAGGTGATGGATAAAGATATGTTTATTGACACATATCCATCAGTGCGGCCTCCAATGCAATTTATCATGCAATGCATCCACGACAAAACAGATCATAGTTCCAGTGCTTATTTTACCGAACACGCATGTAAAAACCATGTCAGATTATTGAGGAGGTATTCATCTTCTTGTTTCAATTGAATATGTACACTGAATGAAATCTATTTTAAGGTGGGGTTGTTAACTGTTCTGTTATCGATTATGAAAATAGCAGGACATGTTGCCTTCATCATGGCGCTTCATGCAGAACTTCTGAACTTTGGTTGACAACAATTAAGACATGCAATAGATGGCCCGCTCTGTTTGAAAACCATTTAGGTTTTGATAAAAAAAGAAAAGAAAAGTCACACTGTAATAGATATGTTGGTTTTCAAAGTATCATAATAGTAAAGATTTGTTGGAGAGAAACAGATATGGCAGTAAAATTGTTATCCAAAAGGCACTAGGTGAGCCGAACGCTACAGCTGTTTAGTCTTCTACAAATAAATTACAATTCAAACAGTGCAGTTACATTTGTTAACTTAATGTTTTCCTTTTTGAAACATTTATCTATGAATCAAATGTAAGGCAACACATTACAAAAAAGAATATTACAGAAACAATGTACCCAATGAACACACACAGACAAAAACTTGAAACAATGGTTTCTATGACATTTCATGTCTCCTGACGCCATTATGATGATATCCTATGGCTTGGAGCCTCCAAAACAAATTATAATGATAAAGACAATTCTGATAATATTATGCATAGACTGTAATAATTCTCCATGCTCCACAAAAAACAAAAAAAAAAGCCCTCAAAATCTCCCCTCAAAAACTCTCAGGACCCAATCCTTTGCCCCAAACCCAATTCATTTTCCATTTAGACTTTGAGGGATTGAATAAGGCAACCAGAGTCCATCAGAAGGCGGCATCGAAGTGGATTTAAGTAGAAATAGTTTGCAAACTAAAAATATTGTCCCAAAGACCCTTTTATGGTTAGTTCACCAAATTTAAAAAGGTGTCAAGCTACAGTCCCTATCCCAGAATCCAAACAGAGAGACATGGGCATGAGATCAGCTTACAGTTTCCTTCCCAAGACGTTAAAAGACTCTTTCCTCTGGACAGCAGGAGGTTAAATAGAATCTGAGGATCCCAGTGTTATGGGGAGAAAAAAGATGATGCCATGATGCCTTGTGATCGGTAAATCCTGAACTTCAGCACCAATCAAGGTCTGTTTTTTTACGGTCTGTTTTTTACATTTATTCAATTGTGAAATGCAACATTAAAGGGTTAATTCCAAGGTTGTAACAGATTTTTCTAAAGAGGTTTTTGGAGAGGAAAGTACAAAATCCCAATTCGGTTCAGATGGTTAGCTGGAAGAAAGAAGAAAAAGATGATGTCCAGTATTTGTAAGAAAGTTTAAGTTTAGGATCATATTCTTACTTGAGGGTTCATGTTAAACAGACAATCATAAATCATGATATGTGATTCAAATTTCACGCAAACATCTCAAGTTATGTGGTAATGTGTGTGTCCAGCTCACATTTAACTATAGAAAACAAAACAACCATGACAACAAGTAGTAACGATTAAAACGTATTTTACATAAAGGAAATGAAGCCTTTAGGACTATTAAGATATATTTATGCACTATGACATTTTCATGACAATTAAGGACATATTGCCTAACCACAACAAGGTTATTATATAGTTTTGCATTTTTAAATGATGGCAGAGCCTCAACATTGGATTTGCAGTAGGGATGTAATGATTAACTGCGAGCCGGTTGAAAATCGATTCAAATATGTGACGATTCAAATCGGTTGAGATGCTAAACCAATCACGATTCATTTAGGTGTAGGAGTTTATATGAATGTATGTCTGAGGGGAACTTACTGTCTTTAGAAAAGTTTAGATGGTATTTTTTCTTTTCCTCTTGCCTCTGTATAACGCATATTAAAGTTTATAATTTGTCTTAAATCTAATTTTGTAAAAAAAAAATTAGAATAATCGTGAATCGAACCGTGAAATCAAAACCGTGAATCGAATCAAATCGTGAGTTGAGTGAATCGTTACATCCCTAATTTGCAGTGTTGCGCATTACAGCCATTCGCACTGCAGCTGAAGTGAAGGACAGCTTAGGGAGCGCTCGTTGCTCACTTTCTGTAGACTATAAATAATTGTATTTTATACGTTTTATTTTTAATGCTTCTATAAAGGACCAATGGACACATATACACGGCAGGGTTTATGAAGAATTATAAGTAGTTTGTAGTTTATGTAGTTTAATCACATTTGTTCAAAACAGCCGGGCAGGTTGTTCACAAGATGTAGGCAAAAGTTTGTATCGTTTACAGTACGGAAAAAGTAAGTGCATTTATTTTTCATAATTATTATTTTATTTCAGTTCGTTTTTCAGTAACTGTTGTTAGTTTCGTTTCGTTTTAGTTTTTCACTTATTTTAATGTTTTTATTTTATTTCAGTTCCACAAAAATGTTTTTTGATCAATCGTTTTCGTCTTGGTTTTAGTTTACGAAAATAACCTTGTACCACAAAATGCCTGGAAGTTACTTAATAAAAGTTAATTTGTGTCAAAGAATATCACCTGAGCACAATATAACTGCTGGCTACTTTATATAGTACTAATGCAAAATGAAAAAGAATGAAACAATTTCAAGATCAATTTCCAGATTAAATCATCTGTTAAGAAATATTATATTCTATGCATTCAAAACCTTGCACTTTTTCACTCATTTAAACACTGTTCTTGTATTTAAAAGAAGTGAGGTACATGTGCTGCCTAATCGATACAGATCACAATGCAAAAAATCCTAAAAATAAGCTTAATTTTCTTCATGCAATATTGAATCACGTCCTTCCTTGTCAGGTTTCATATGATTCACGTTTTGTTACCATCATAGAAAGATGGGGGTAAAAAAAATGCCTATTTTACTCGATACTCAATATTTTACTCAAAGATTTGACATTTTGCATTATTCTAATGCAAAAAGTCAAATCTTTTGCATTTCCTTGTTAGAATTAGGGCCAGATTTACTAACAGCTTGCACCAGTGCAAACCCTCTTTTGCCAGGATTTACTAAAGGCACACAGTGGAAAATTAGCACTGATAATGTGTGGACAATTATTTTTGTGGCTGACCTTATTGCTTATGCATCTGTAGGAGTTTCCTTTTCAGACACAAAATTTACAAGGAGGAGAGTATTTAAATAAATCGTGCAACGTGATTTACTAAGGCTTGTGGTAGTCAATTTACTAGTATCTGCACCATCATATGAAGCCTCAAAAAAGCATGTCGTAACCCATTCTGCGCTTAACATTGCTGCGATAGTTGCTCATTTGCGCTGGTCTTTGTAGATTGTGTTGGTCACTATAGAAATTATCTGGCTGTGTCTTTTAATTTGCGCATTGTCAGTAGATCAGCAAAACTTTCCACTCCTATCGGTGCTTTTATGGGATTGCGTTCTCACGTTAATTTGCCGTTTAATAAATCTGGCCCTTAAAGTGATACTTTTGCCAACATATGTACAAATAAGTGACCCTGGACCACAAAACCAGTCATAAGGGTCTTTTTTATTTTTATTGAGATTTATACATCTGAATAAATAAGCTTTCCATTGATGTATGGTTTGTTAGGATCGGACAATATTTGGTCGAGATACAACTATTCGAAAATCCGGAATCTGAGGGTGCAAAAAAATCTAAATATTGAGAAAACTGCCTTTCAAGTTATCCAAATGAAGTCCTTAGCAATGCATATTACCAATGAAAAATTTCAGTTTTGATATATTTACAGTAGGAAATTTACAAAATATCTTCATGGAACATGATCTTAATATCCTGTGATATTGATTATGATTTTTGACATAAAAGAAAAATCGATACTTTTGACCCATATAATGTATTGTTGGCTATTGCTACAAATATACCCATGTGACTTGAGACTGGTTTTGTGCTCCAGGGTCACATTTGTACCGAATGCCACTTCATTAGCAGGGGGAGCTCAAAAGTGGGTTTTCTAACAGAATTTTAAAAGGGGAAAATTGAAGTTTTCAAGCCAAGCCTGTAGAGAGCCTCGGTCCAGCAAAAGGAAATTCCCTTTTAATTGCCCAGAATTGGTTAAGTTTGTAAAGGAAAGAATCCGCTATTCTAGTAAACAAAACCCCACAGTAAACAGAAAAGCACACCCCTTCAAAGAACACGTCACCACAGTTAAGCTCAACCGTAAAAACACGGGGTAGTCGACTACACCGTTAGAAATCTAAGGTCTGGAGAGGCTGTGTGATGCTGTCAGCATGTACTGGATGTTGTGTCTGCCGCTTGGAGAAAGGACTGCGCCCTGCTATGAGACAACAGCAAACAAACAGCCCATCACGAGACCACCCTGCCTCTAACTTATGGCCTTCAGCATCACAATTACAGCTTTTTATATCAAGAACTAATGGTTGAATCTCATAAAAACGTGTCCCTGTCACATTTCATCCCAAGTATCAAAAATGATATTTTGCATTCAGAAAAGTCATATTTTGGGGACCATCGAGACATTATTTTTATGAAATTCAAGCACTTCCCACACCCTCTCTGCTCCAAATGCATGATGTGATTTAGGCTGAGCATGACACTGTGTGGCTGTAGTTACCTTGGCTTGCCCGACATGTTTTTGGGGTTCTTGCGGAAGGACTGGTTTGCTACAGAGCGAGTGGACATCGTGCGTGGAGACGCCCTTGCGAAGGTAGATGGAGGGGTCTTGGGAATCTTCTTGCCGAGATGGCCGATCCATTTCTTCTGCTCGTCTTGGGACAAGGCCAGGAGCAGCATGTCTCTAGCTGATGTCACATCATAATTCACTGAGGAACAAGAACAAAAGGTTATATGAGGGTAGCCATTTGCACACATGCAATCTTTGCTGTAGATTTTGTTGAGTAATGCAAAGGATCATCCATGTGTCCACTTGGACCAATACAGAGTAGTGATAACAAGAATGGATGAAGGGGAGTAATGAAAGTTTTTTTTTTATGGTTTCTCATTGTTCATGTAAAAAGGTGAGCTGATCAGGCTAGTTTATTCACTTTATGTGCTTTAGACATGTAAAACATCCACATTTCACATCATTACTGGGTGCTTGGGTAATAACAAAATTGTATACATGCAATGTGCTTTACCTTTGCAAGGGGCGATAACATCCTCCTTCTTGTCCAAATGGTCCTTGTGGCACTTGACGTGGCATCGGCGGCACTCCAGGGCTGGCGGAGGCTTGAACACGTGCCACAGCGGTTTGGAGCAAGCCTCGCAGTTAGAGGGGAAATGATAGAGGGTGGGGATGAACTCATGGCCTTTGTGGGGCAAGCAGTTGGTCTTATCACCCTGAGGAACACTCTCCATGTCCGCCTCCTTCCTGCACTCACCTTCATTAGCATACAGGATCTAAAGAACAAAAAACGTTTTCAATTCGTATATTTGAGTAAACAGTTAAAGGGTCACGATCTTAATATACACATTGCACATATCACTTATGCAGCAGCGGACACTATGGGGAAAACTTTCCCCGAAAACACTGAAGCCCTATTGAGTGTTAAGGGTGGACAGTTTGACTAATGATGAGTACATTCAAATCACAGTAAAGCAGATCTGGTTAGGGTTGTAACGGTACACAAACATGACGGTTTGGTACGTACCTCAGTTTTGATGTCACGGTTCTGTATGATTTTGGTACAGCAAGGGGAAAAACTAAACATAAATTGCTTCTTTTTTCTTTTTCTTTATTAAACAGTGGTTTACTAACCAAATTGTTGCTTTGTCTATAAATAAATAAATCTAATTATAATTAAAATGTTCTACCTCAGATAATGCTGTAAACTACAGGAAGCCTGCACTTTATAATAATTCTCTTCTCTAGACTTAATTTCTCTAGCGAACTAACAAGCTATAGACACTTAATGACTTGCCTAAGGTAAATGTAATGCTATGTGACATTTTGTTTACAAGCTAATTTATTGACATCTTTCTGCAGTTTAAACACTGATTGAGCTGTTCATTCACGTTTATTTCCTGCCGTAACTAGTAGTAAAGAGGAAGGGATGGTCGTGTTCATTTGTGCTCTGCGCTGCCATTTACAGCGATCTGTCGCTAAAAAGTTAATTTTGTCAGCCATTTTAAATTTTAGTCTTAGTCCCGTGTTAAATGTCCTTGCTAGTTTTGATCATATTTAGTCAACCTTATCCTATTCAGTTTTAGTGGACATACCCCCGGTTTCACAGACAAGGCTAAAGCTAGTCTCAGACTAAAATGCATGTTTGAGCGGTCTCAACTGAAAATATCTTGCTCTGACATATCATGTTCTGTGTCAAGATGCACACCTGTAATGTTTTCTTCTAAGGCATTTTTGTAAAAGTTGCTTAAATATCTTAATTTAACTAAGGCCTAGTCCTGGCTTAAGCTAAGCCCCGTTTGTGAAACCGGGCCTAAAAGTCTCAACATTTTAGTCTAGTTTTAGTCAAAGAAAATCTAAAGTATTTTAGTCTAGTTTTAGTCAATGAATACTTGACATTTTAGCAATAAGATTATTATTAATTAACCGTACAGCAGTATTAATTTTGGCAGCCATTTTTAATTTAGTCTTAGTCTTACCCAAATGTACATTTTAGTTATATTTAGTCAACCTTGTCCTGTTTTTGTTTAGTCAAGTTTAAGTCAATGGAATGTACGAGCATTTTAGTCAATGAAATCTTAGTCACATTTTAGTCGAGATCTCATGACAGAACACAGACCGGTTGAGTGACACTTTCATTTAGATCGCTAAAATCCAGCTTGTTTGTTGGTGTTTTCAGATCATCGTCGGCGCTGCTTCCGCAATGAGCGCACGAGCGCGTGCGCATGGTTGCCAGATTGCTTAAAATAAGCAAAACACTGGGCAGAAAATGTATCCTTGTAACAGCGAAGCTCGGATTCGGGGATTTAAACTCTTGATATCTGGCAACCGCACTCATGAAAGCTCGCGTAGTAGAGGAGTGTACAGCAGTCCACAATAACATGTCTTTTTTTTTTGACGAAAATAAAGAGGTTTTTGTTAAAGTTTTTATTTTTTTTAATACATTTTAGTCTCATCGTATTTCGTCAACGAAATTGCATGTTGATATAGTCATTGTTTATTGACCTTATTGTCGTCTCATTTTAGTCATGGGAAAAAAGCTCGTCAACGAACATTTTTCATCATAGTTTTCGTTAAAGAAATTAACAGTAGCATCTATTGTTAGAATTTTCTGATAAAATGGACATAATTTGAAAGATGAGACTCTGTTTATATATAAAACTTATATAAGTTTCAATTGACGTTCTGCACATTCAGTGCTTAAAACAATGCTGCATTTGTTCCGTACACATGTGTACAGAACCAAATGACCCGAATGTGTGCTTGTCAGGTCGTAGCTTAGCTTTCCTACAGTAGTTTTTCATGATCCAGCACAGTTTAACTACGTGTATTCATGCAGTTTGCACTGACACTGTAATATGTCATTATGGGGCATTTCACAACCTTTATTAAATAGAATTGGTGTAAAAATAAAATAACTGACCTGGAATATTCTTGGAATTTCATCGGCCTCAGCTCGATAAACGTCACCTTGCGTGACAGGACGCACATGGAAAAGTTTGCTGTTTAAAAAAAAAAAAGTTTTAAAGCAGCAGAAAGGGAAACCATTCAATTTTATATACAAGAATGAATAAAACGGCCAGTTATCATGGATAGTTGATTCATGGCTAGTTATTTATCACAATACTTACTCGATATCTAGTACCATAGAGGGGTTAGACTGCTCCTTGTCTTGCTCATCATTGTAAAAGAGAATTTTTTTACTGCTCACCACAACATACTGAAGGAAACAAAAACAAATGTTAAGGGTGGGTATCATGCATGTCCAAGTGCACAATAATAGTTTAATACACAATTCTTCATGCAAGTCTCACCTGCTTTTTCCAGCCGTATCTTTTTATATTAGCCCTATATGGTATCGCTAGCCAGCCTTCAAGCCTTGATTCTGAAGACAAATAAAATGCATGCATAATTAAGTCCAAGCCAGAATTTGACCAAACAACAGAAAAAGACATGCAGGTCATCTAGGAAAACAAACCAAGGTTGTGACACAATCCATACAAATCAAAAAGCTTTTACTAACATGCGTAAACCAGGTACACTTTAAAACAACTGCCTCATGTCACAGGGTTGTAGTTATAAAATCCCATGCTGCTGACTTCAACATGAAACAGCATTCGCATATCATTTTAACTTCCATGATGCTGCTAAGTGAAACTAACAAGACAAGAGGGCAGGCCTTTATTATTAAATTAATTTTCAAGAATTAATTGGGATGGTGAAAATGGGATGCTTCACAACCACTCAAAACATCACAACAGCAGCTATTAGTTATTCGAGTAACATGAACGAATAGACCAATAGGGGATGTTAGCCGAAAGTTGTTCCAGAGGTGAAGCAATTTATTACATTTGAATGAATGATTACCTAGACAAACATCTTTCGATTTGGACTGAAAATGTGCATTTCAAAACTATGAATGCCTATCATGTATCAGCAGTATTAGTAATTGGCTCAATGCAACAGTTTGTTATACAGAGCATTTTGTATTCGAGATAAAGTGACAAGACAAGCCAGTAATTCTGCCCTTCGACCAAATTCTAATGCAATTTAATTAAAATGTTACTGGTTTGAAAGCATACTTGGTGGGAAATACATTTAGGTGACAAAAGAACTGTTTAAAGAATCATGCATGAACTGCGTGACTACGACTGACTGCTAAAGTCATTCATTCTGTAGTGAACATGCTGCTGGTGCAATAGACAAACGAACCGTACATACAAGTGCCTAATCCAGTGCTGCAGTCTAGGGTTGCAAAGGGGTGGAACATTTCAGGTAAATTTCCAGAAACTTTCCAAAAAATCCTGGATTACTGGAATGTTTCCGAAATTTACCAACTTTTTGCAACCCTAGTCGTGACATTAAAACCCAGAAGACTTAAGGCCCGTTCACACCAAGCACGATAACTATAAAGATAACGATAAAGATATAGTTCTAAAAATCGTTCTCAATATTAAAGAATAGCATAGTTCCGTTATCTTTATAGTTATCGTTCTTGGTGTGAACGGGGCTTTATTCACCATAGGTTCCCTCAAGGTTATTTTCAAATCATGAGTAAAATAATGTCTGTGGTAAAAATATCTTGGACATTTTGATCTACAACGTAACCTGCAAACACCCCAAATAGGGGTGTGCGATATATATCGTCTGCGATAATATCGTAATTGTTGTTTTAACGATGTGCGATTTGACATTATAGAGTATTTTGCGAAAAACTTTCAAAACACCCCTACAGAGCGCATGCATACATTACGTGAAGTCTAGACTAGACTAGTCGCGCGCGCATTTAGAGTGCTGATGATTCAGTCTATTACAATACATTTAGAATGATCACAAATTCAAGACATGGGGGCAGAAAATGTATATATTTATACCACTTCAAATAGCCTAGTTAATCAATTTCACACGAAGAGTGCCGTTTTTTTCTCCAAAAATGACAATGATTACAAATGTGATATTGATTTTTTACAACAGTTCAATAAACAAGAAGTTAATTAAGAGACTTACGCTTTAGACACCATATTTCCTGTTTTTGCGCTATTTTTCGATAACAAAAAAATAACTCCAAACACAACCACAGCACATTTTTGCGTCTCTGAGCAACATGATGCGGTTTTGTTCCTGAATGAATCAATCGTTTAAATGATTTGGTTCAATCGCATTGACTCACTTATTAACAGTGACTTGCTGCCACCTACTGGCGGTTTTAATTTCACATTCAGAGTATCTTTTATTATCCAGAAAATATCGAGATATTATTTTTTGTTAATATCGCACACCCCTAACCCCAAATGTTCTTATGTAGTTCCTTATTACAAACAAACGCTTCAAACGCCACATTTTCAGTCTGTAAATGATGTTGTAGTAGAGTAAACCATCCAAGTATTATCAGTTTATTTTTACCACAGGCCTTGTTTAACTTGTAAATTGAAAAACCCCATTATAAAAACCCATAGGAAAATCATTCCTCCGGGCTTTGACGCCACGACCACAGCACTCTTGGGTACTGACACCGACTTCCCAATCTGATTAGACATCATATTTGCTCATTTGGGAATATTTTCTTTTCAATTTTTTTACCCACTCTGGATAAAAATGTCTGCTAAATTAGGGTTTTTAAAACTTTACAGAGCCAGGAACCCAATGTCTTCATGGACCCCAGATTGAAAACACTGGTGTTAAATTAATAAACTTGAACTTTTATTACTATCATTAAATGATCCTCTGATTACTACAGTGCACATTAGGGCAGCAAGTAACGATTATTTTGATATTTGATATAATCTGCTGATTCTTCAATCAATCAGATAAAAATCCAAATATTATCATTATTAAAATGGAACAATTTTAATTAAAAAAACAATTAATATTAATCAATTATTCAACATTTTATTCCACATTTGGCCCAATGTTGTCCTCCAAAGAATATGTAATCTGAAGGCTTTGAAAGCAAATATAATGAATGCATCTAATCACTTTTATCGATCAGTTGTTGCAGCCCTAGTGCATAATTTGTCATTTGAAGGCAACGCCAGGTTCTTTATCCTATTAACATGATTGGAATACAAAGTGTTAAACCACACACACACACACACACACACACACACTAAAAGAGTGTGACTTGACTTAAAACACCTCTGAAAGGTGCTCAGAGTTGGGGTTAGTATAAAAAGATTTGAATTAGCAAAATATTTTGCGCTATTTTCAGTAGTTTAGTATTGAATCTAAACTTGTTCAGCATTGCTCACTATTAGGGCTGTCAAAAGAAAATTCGACTTTCTAATATTCGTCGAATTTAAAATAAAAATCCACATTCGAATGCAAAAACGTTGCATTCGAATTTTAGGTGTGCATCAGGCAGCTTTATCAGTGGAGATGCGGTTTTCGGTCCTTTGTATTAAACTATTCATACATGCATGATGCTGTTTTGTTTCTAATTGTTTAAGCAACTTTATTAATTATATAAGGTTTATAAACATTATTTTAAACATTATGCACTTTTTTCAAAGATAGTCGTGTTATTTTATTATGCTTTGAATAAACGTGCATTAGTAATATTTAGCTCGATGCGCCCTCTTGTAGCCTCAGGAGAGAATCCAAAAGCTTTTTTCCCCCCTAACTGAAATTATGCCTTTTAAATTCGAATATAATTCGAATATTGATAATATTTAAGTAAAAATTTCGAATTTAGTTTTTCAGCCATTTTGACAGCCCTACTCACGTGATATCGTTATAAACACTCTGAGTAGCTTATTTCGGAGGCATCACCAAAACACAAGTAAAATGTGTTTATTAAAAAACAAAAAGAGAGAAGCAACAAAATGCCACCCAAGAGCACAATCCAGGCATAACAGGACCCCAATCTTAAAGTTACTCACAGAGGAAAAAGAATAGAAGACAGAAAGATAAGGAGAGCAAGAAGAACCGACTACATATGAGGGAGAACGAGAGATGAGAGAGGACTTTAAACACAGACAATGGCAGCCATAAACATCTTATCATCACAGGATTAAAAGTGATGAGCGCAGTTTATGTGCTGATAAAGAAAATATGGTAACACTTTATATTAAGGAACACAATTTACTATCAGCTAGTTGCTTATTAGCATGCATATTAATAGCAAATAATAACAAATAATGTAGATTTTTTATGAAATGGCTAACTAATATAAACAGAATATAGGCATAATTTTTGTTTTAAATATATTTTTACATAACAAAAAATGCATTCCAAAGAATCCCTTCTAATCAAGTCTATATATCTTTTTTAGTAAAAGTAAACATTTCTCTTTCACACTATTTTACTTTCATAGTTTTTTATATAACTTTGGCATATTATTTGAAATCTGGAATCAAATTCCGCTTGAGTAGTTTAGGACGAGAACTTCACAATAAACTTCCTTAGTTAACTACATTATTTAATGAACTAACAATGAAAAAATTCTACTTCATTCTTCTGCGGCATTAATTAATCATAATGTTCATTTCAACATGAACTAATACATTTTAAAAATCAAAACCTGTATCTGTTAATATTATTTAATGAACGAGCTAACAATGAACAGGTATATTTTTGTTTACTAACATGAACAAAGATCCATAAATACTGTAACAAATGTATTGCTCATTGGCAGTTAATGCTGGTTAATGCATTAACGAAGGTTAACTAAGGAAGGTTATTGTAAAGTGTTACCTGAATAGGTGGCATTATAATAACAAAGGCAAGCATTTTGACAATGCTGCATGCTGATTTGATAAATCAGCTAAAACACATTTATGAATGAGATGCATAAAGATATATACACAGCATGTGCACACTATGAATTTTAGGTAAACTGCCCAAACATTAAAGCTTCTTATTTTCTGTATTTCATTCTCCCCATTCAGACTAAAGTGACAATCAACTGGTTAATTAAACCTCTCCGTTCCTTAATTTACCTGAGATTCATATAACAGAAATGCTCATATTTAGTGAGCGTGTCCTTACCAGCGATGTTACTGTCCGTCTCATCTGGCTGCAGGCTGGTGACGCTGGAGTTGTCCACGCGGAGCTGCAAGTCGTTGAGTTTCTCTCTGAGCTGCTCAATGTCACTCTCCTTACTGTCCAGTTGCATCTGCAACTCGTTGCGATACGTGCACTCCTCTGCCAATTGCTGCAAACACAGACAACAACATTAACTAGGCCAAAATTGCTAAGCCTTGTTCTGAAAATCCTTTACCTAATAAGGTGTTCCCAGTCAAAAATGACCAGCCCAGCTTGTATGTCTCTCATATTATGCTATATTATCACCAAATCTTGGATTCAGTCTTTGTCAAAAAAATTTTTTTTAATTAGCACAGGTTTTATATTTATTTTTGGAACTGATTCATTGATCTGAGCTCATGCACCTCAATTTATGAGTAAAAAAAAAAAGCATTATTTTTTGGATAATTTTTTGGCAAAGTTCACTCAAAAACTAAAGTGCATAAGCTCAGATCAATGAGGCCTAAAAGAAATGCAAAACCTGTGCTAACTGTAACAAAACAAGTTGATGAAAAGATTGAATCTAAGATTTGGTATTAATATAGCATATAGTCATTTTTGTAGGTCAGTCGTTTTTTGACCAGGAACCCCAAGGTAACAAGACGGGGGGAAAAAAATCTCCAAGTACAAAAATTGTCAGTTTTTGGGGGAAGTCAGTAAATTTTAGTCCAAAGTGATAACATTACCTAGCACTTTCAGGAAAAAGAAAATCCTCAAATGACTGGAACAAAACATGAAGGTTAATCACACTATTGCAATGCTTGGCTCATGAATATTGACGTTATTGTGACTTACTGCTTACATTGTAACTCAATCAGTTTTCACAAGACAAGCTTTCACCGCAGCAGGACTGGGATCGTCTTGTTGAAACTGACTTTGATAATCATCGGATTCCACTGATTGGCATTAATGATAAAAACAGTTACTGTGAAAAGGCTAATAAACATTGACTTGCCGCTTGCATCTCGTTCAGCTCCTTCTGGTTCTTGATGGCCATGTGGTTGAACTTCTCCTTCTCCTGGTTGAGCTCCAGCTGCAGCTTGCGGTTCTCCTTCTCTTTCTTGCGCAGGTCAGTGGTGCTGCCTCTCTTCTTCTGGTCCAACTTCATGTCCTTCCGGTTCATGATCTCCGCCAGCTTATTCACCGCCTGCCGTCACATGTTGAGGCGTTAAGATGGAGAATGACTACAATGTCTTATTAGAAGTCTTATTCAGACTTCGTGGAACATATTTGTATGACACGGTTTGGTCTTAATAGGCAACACAACAAATGCACAAGAGACAAAACTTATAATTGATTTTGCTGCTAATGTGTTAACAATTGGATATTCTTATAGGCATTCTTTTTACTGTGCTTGTCACATGGTTATATTGGTAAACTAAAACCATAAATATATTTCCTTTAATTGAAATAAATAAATGTTAATGGAAATAAAATACATAAACTTATTTTATTTCAGCTAGTTTACTAGGCACTAAACAAAATTACTAAAACTTTAACTAAAATTAAAATGAAAGCAGAACATATAAAAACAACAGCAAAATCAGTAAAAGATAGATGTGATGCTGCCCAAGATACCAAAACAAGCCTTACCGTTTAGTCTACGTTTGTATTTGACTATTAAAAAGTGTCACTATTTCTCATATATTTCACAGTTTTAAATTAGCTTTTTCATTTTAGCTATATAAACATGCATTGTTTTCATAATGTTGTGTTTAATGCTGTATGCTGGTTATACCTGGGTCTTCAGAGTTCTTTCTATATTAAGGGCCTTCTCGTAATTGGCCTTTACTGTGCTTGCCAGCTCCTCCTTCTCTGCTGCAAACTCTACAGGAAGACATTAGAAAAGTCATGATAATACGTAATGATAAAATGCAGGTTAACCAACTGGAAATAACATTACCTTCTTCTCGAGCTTGGAGTCTCTCGTTCAGTTCTGCCTTCTCCTTACTGAGGATCTCCGCATCTTTGGTAAGGGTTTTATTGGATTCCTCAAGCTACGTGAAAATGCATTATAATCTAATTAAAAACCTCTGGTATAACCACAGATTTAACAATAATGATGAGCTAAAACAACAGATGGCTTGCACAGGACATAGAGATCTGATACGGAAAATGTGATGGAACACAAATGGACTATATACATTGTTAGGGCCCTATGATTTCTGCGGAAGACGCAGAATCCAGTCATAAAAATGGAATTTTCTGTAAAACGCAGAATGTCACGGAATTTGTCAAAGTTTGAATGAATAAATCAAAAGTAGGTCAGTACACTTTAATCAAATGGCAATATATGGACTTGGTGTCTGTGAAATTCTTCAATTAAAATAGCAAAAATGCTATTTAAATATGAATCCTGCATGTCTCTGTGTGAATGAGTGGCGCAGACACGCGGTTTCACCTATGCGTGTGTGATGATATATATATATATATCATATGCAAACAAATGGTACCCCGTCAAAATAAAAGTGCGGTTTAACTTGAAAAAATTGTGACAGAAATATATTACTTAGAGCTGGGAAAATAAATCGATGCATCGTGAATCGAGAAATGATTCCGCATCGATTCTGAGATTTTCCGAATGCATTGCGATTCTTTCTCGAGTCGATTCTGAGCTTAGTCTTGAACAGCAGATGGCGCTGCATGCTTTAGAAACAGCCGTACTCTGCTTGCTTCCAAATCCTTACACACACTTGAACCTGAAATAATCATTCATAAAATTTGAAAAGGTTGAAGCGAATTACAAGGGTGTTCACAATGGGATGTTTACATTAATCTCGCATCATAAAAGCATTCTGAGCCGAGGTGAAATTACAGACTCAGCCGAACGCACAAGCGCTCTTCAGCGCTCTTCTTCGTGAGCATTTGAGTGTGCGGATAAAAACGAGAGTAGAGCGCCATCTGCTGTTATAATCTAAGCTCAGAATCGATTCCAGAGAGAATCGCGATGCATTCGGAAGATCTCAGAATCCATCCACGAATCGATTCTGCATCGATTTATCATCACAGCCCTAATATCACTACTGTACAGCAGAATGTACATCTTACTCGGGGCTGTCCTTTGGTCGGTGCAACTGATGTGGACTGAGGAGGGATTGTGCGGCACTTTGTTGGTTTGTTATTTAAAAAAAAAAAAGTAATCGGATTTCATAGGGCCCTGCATTGTATGATTCAGAGAAGCATGCCTGTCCTGAGGCACAGACCTGTGTGATGGTCGAGTCCTTCTCTGAGATCTCCTGTTTGTACCGTGAGGTGGCTTTCTTGTGCTCCTGAGAGAGTTCAAAATACTGCTCTTCCTGCAGCGCGCGCGCCAACTGCTCCGACTCGGCCTTCGTCATGGTCAGGTCCAACTGAGCAGACAGCGACTCCCTATAAAAACAGGAGCAGCAGTTCACAAGACGACATTCAAAATAAATGCTGAATAGTACTTTCAAGTTACAAGATACTCTATGGTTCCTTATTAATTGTTTTAAAGCAGCCCTGTTTCAAATTCTACTTATTGATGAAAAGGACTTTTACTTCTCTGAGTACATGTCCTGGACTTTTTTGAGAGTCTCTTGAGTTTGTCGATTCTTCTCCTCTATCTCCTCCTTCAGCTCCTTCACCTGAGTTTTATAGAGTGTCTGAAAACAAGAAAAAACGGCTTGAGAATATATGACGTGACAGCACTAAAGACGTCACAATGAGGAAATGTTCATATCACTATATGGGGGGGGGGTCGCTTTCCAATTAGCGATTCTGGTGTACAGCTTTTCAAAATGAAAACAAAAAGAAAATTAAAGCTAAATTCGCTGTTGGTGACAGCGATTGCATGTTTTTTTGCCAAGAAAACCAATATGTTCACCTGAAATTGCTTTGAGAGAAACACATTACATTAAGACATGTGCATCTGGTAACTGTGGTACAAGAGGAATAATTGACTCTGGATGACTCAATTACAGTAAATGAACCTCTGTGCGTTTGGAATTCGCTGCTTTTAATTAAGAAAATGAGGTTGATAGTGATTCCATCATTAAATACAAGCTTACCAAGTCTGGTTACTTGCAAATTTGTTGTTCTCAAGAAAGATTAGGGACCAGCTGGGCATCAATCAACAGATTTCTATGCTAATTTTGTGGCATTGCATTAAAAATGCTGGATGGAAACATCAAGAATCTACTAAATGTGCATTTAAAAAGAAAACAAAAATGCTCACTTCAGGCGGATAGAGTTTTGCTATTAACTATTATAGAAACACATTTAATTAATGCATTTTTTTATTGCACATCAATAAAGTCACAACTTAAACAAGTGGCATGACTAAACAATTTAATAAGATAAAAAAAAAGAAAAAAATGTAGCTTCATGCAGCATCTCATATATCAATCTAGTCATTAAATCATCACATCATATACAAAAGTAAAAGTTCCCAGACTCGATTGTTCAAAGTGCGCAATGTGTTTTTACCACATAAAGAAAGGAAAAACGCAAGTATTATCAGCAGTCTATGATACTCACTGAGAAATACTGCTCAGCCTCCAGCTGGTCCTGAAGCTCCCTCATCTGACCCTCATTTCCTCGGTACTGCCTGAGAAGATACATTTCCATCAGCAACAGTCAGATTCACAAACAATTTCAGTCAAACTTCACAACTCAAGTACAATGTACAAATGAACATTACAATGACCTGCAGGGCTACGTTCTAGGCCCATTATAACAGTTTAGCAAGTTATTTCAAGCAAAACTCATTTAAGTGATGAATAGAGTAATCATATTTTGATGAAAGATTACAAAGACAAACTTATTTTTAATTTTCAACTAATGTGAACTGATGCACTGCTCACAATACAGTCAGGAACCTGTACAATATAAATAGTGTAGTGATTTCATGTTGACTTTAAAGTAGAGAACACAAAGCTAGGCATAGTGTTGAAATGCCTCATTGAGCGACCGAGTCCAACAGGAGGAGAGGTGAAGGACTAACCTGCTGTGGTCAGACGGAGGCTAATCCTTAATCCAAACATGTAAATATTGGCAGCTAACTGTTTTGGCCTGGTTTAAACCTATAAGCTGCAATAATAGCTATTTCTACAATAGAAAAGCATCTCAGATATTTAGTGATGTACAGGGTTCCTACATATTTTCCATTTCAAAATGCCATACTTTTCCAGACTCAAATTTCCAAACCTTTCAGTAGTTTTGCAGACCCATATTTAACATAAATGGTTCATAGAGCATTATTTTCAGCTTTATATTTGGTATACAGTACAGTCATCTGTAAATGTTTATTTTCTCAGGGTTTGTTTCATTGATTTTCTCGAAGTGACAACATACAGAGTCCCTAAAATAACAAATAATAAATAAATAAAAAATACAGACTTTTACATGCACACAAGACACTTTTTTGTGCCCTTGGGAAACTATTCACGTGCATGGGAATGCTTTGCATGCTTCTGCATTACAAATTCTAGTTTTATATAACCTATTTCCTTTGTGCATCCCTGCCATCTTACTATGAATAAGACGATAGCATGGATGCACATGAATTAACAGAGATCTACCTGCTCAAAATTTTGCTTTTCTTACGGTAGTACCTCTAATATCAAGGCCTAATGTCCAATTTAACACATCCTCCACGGCATCCCAACGAAATGGGCTGATGGCATAAAATTTGCCAAGTTCAAGAGTCTATAAAAAAGACTGGTACTGTAAAAAAAGTCTTTCAAGACTTGGCTTTCATTAGGGAAGTATGCCATATTTCAAGGCCTTAGGTCTATTTAATGCATAGTCTGTGGAGGCCAAGAAAGCACACCGCGAAATGGGCTGATGGGACAATAGGTGGCTCAGTGTGCATTGTCCTATACTAAATTCAATGGTTTCTTGTGCACACATAAAAGTCTGTACATTTTTTATTTTTGCAAAGGTCCTTGAGGTTATGTAATATGGTGCTAAGAATATAGTGTGAAGAAACCCAAAATGCTTATCTGAGGGTTGTCCCCCTTAAAAATATACCACGCTGTGCATTGTAAATAACAATGTTTTATACTTTAAATAATTGTGTAAGTAGTAAAACAACACAATTTTACATCACCTACACACACACACACACACACACACACGAGTCCAGTGAGAGAGAACAAAGCCAATAGTTGTGGAACTCCAGTAAGTAAGGCTGTCAGTTTTATTCACTTAAGCATGTTAGCAATAATAACCCTGCTTGACGGAAAGGGCTGCCAGGTTTTCACAACAAAACCCTCACAATTAACCCAAAATGCTTATCTGAGGGTTGTCCCCCTTAAAAATATACCACGCTGTGCATTGTAAATAACAATGTTTTATACTTTAAATAATTGTGTAAGTAGTAAAACAACACAATTTTACATCACCTACACACACACACACACACACACACACGAGTCCAGTGAGAGAGAACAAAGCCAATAGTTGTGGAACTCCAAGGCTGTCAAGGCTATTTTATTCACTTAAACATCGGATGAAGTGATTATTTTCTCTTTAATACAGATGATGCCAATGTATTTTTCGATGAGTCCGCTATGTTAGCTATAATAACGTTACCTGCTTGACGGAAAGGGTTGCCAAGTTTTTACAACAAAACCCGCCCAATTGCTACTCAAAACTAGCCCAAACTAACCGCGTTTCGAGGGTGTCCCCCGGTAAAAATCACGTTCCGGAGGCTAAAATACACGTTATTGGAGTCGCTTCAACCCGCAGACATGAAAAACAACCCGCGGCAACAGTGTTAAAGTAGCCCAATTCCGCGGGAAAACCGCGGACTTGGCAACACTGTGACGGATAGTAATGTCTACAACGGACACGACTGCTGTCGCGGCGCGACCACAACAGCTTGAAGTCTAATTTGACACGGTCTCCCTGTTACACTAATAGTAGTAAAGCTTTCCTCTGTGTATACGTAAAGTACCATTTTAGCTGTATTATTTGTGTCCCCTTCAAAAATTGCTCTAGTGAAATTTTGTTTATTGTCCCCCCCTACTGTTAGACGAAATTTACGCCCCTGCTTATAACCTGCATTTTGTATAATGAAAAAGTGCACCTTGAATTCATTCAGTCATATTTGGCGATCTTTAAAGAATCACTAAACAGCTGCCATGAAACCTCACTTCTTGTACGATACATTTATTTTCATTAAATTCTTAATTTTCTATTATAAAAATAACTAAATAGGGGCAAAAGTCTGGAAACACAAATATGTTTCCATACTCTGCTTTCTTTTTTCCATACTTTTCCAAACCCCGTAGGAACCCTGGATGTAATAGCTTTTGTGACGCTATTTGGCTCAGAGCTAAAGGAAGGCTGTTATAAGGTCGGTGTTACTACTGGGGTCCAACAGAACCAACAGAAATGCTTGTACAAAAAAATATTAGGCTTGAAAATTTGACGCGATTACTTATGGAAAAAAATTATGTGTTAAAATTACTAATGCATTTAATGCACCCTGTCACACACAGACCTGTACATCATCTTACATTGATGCTGTTGCTGAAGATGATGATGCAGGATGACAGACTGTATAATGAAGCCTACGAGAATAGTTATATGTCCCTAAAATTCAAGATATGAGGGCAAAAATTGCCCCTGTGCAGGGTTTTGTCTTACAATCTATTATATTTTAGTTGAACAATAGCACGTGAGCGAGAGTGCTGTTTTTTCCCCAATATCTGCACACAATTGCAGTGTATATTGCCTATTGACTTAATAGTTCAATAAACAAGTTAATATTGTGTTAAACTTTTTGATTCAGTGACTCATTCATAAAGAGAGTCACTTGGGTCATTTCTGAATGAATGAACGAATAGGTTGAGTGAGTGAATGAATGAATTACTCACTTATTAAGACAGTAACTTGCCGCCACCTACTGGTGATTTTAGTTTCATATTTAAAGTATTATTTCTTTTTAAAAAATAATTTCATATTTCAATATTTAATTAAAAAAAAACACCCATTTATTATAATTATTTATGCAATTCTAAATCAAAATAATGACTTTATCTTTTTTGGAGTAATTTCTTACCCTAAATTGATGTGCGATTGATTTGCAATTAATTTAATTAATTAACCACATTAACCATTTATTATTAATTAGAAAATCATTTGACAGCCTTAAAAAATTAAGGGGTGATCATTTGCAACCTGTTTAGAAACTAGACAATTTGTATTGGTTAGTCTTTTATTTAAACAATAATAAATAAAATAAATAAAATAATGGGAGATACATTTGTACCCTATTCACGGTGTATATTCATGACCCTTTTGAGCACAGGAGAGAGAAAGCAACGTACTTTGTGAGCTGTGCCAGCTGGAACTCAACGGAGCGTTTGTTCTCGAGGGCCGCGTTGATCTCCTGTTTGAGCTGCTTCTCTGATCCTTTCAGGCGCTCGGCCTCCATCGTCCAGCTCTTCAGCTCATTCTGGGCCAGCACACGCTTCCCGGACTCCTGCTCCAACTGCACCCGTAGCTCCTTCACCTGGTAGAGCAGAGGAAAGAGGAAAGATACGGAATTTGTTCTGCTAAAACACTGTCAGCAGTTTCTAATACATTTACATTTAGTCATTTAGCAGAAGCTTTTATCAAATGAGGACAATGGAAGCAATCAAAATCAACAAAAGATTTATTAAGTAATATTATCAAGCAAAGCTTTTTGGCCTTAATTAGTATGTGTGGGGTCAAACTGCGGGTTCACGCTCACCTCTTCCTCCAGCCTCTCCTTCTGCTTCATCAGCTGCTCCATCTTCTGCACAGACTGCTTGAGGTCAAACTCCAGCATGGAGCATTGCTTCTCCACCTCCACCACCCTGCTCTCCGCTCGCATGCGCAGCGTGGTCTCCTCCGCCACATTCTGCTCCACCGCTGGACAGAGGAAAGATTTGAGTTGTTTTTAGAGATTTAGAATGAACAGGTGATCGATATACCTGCATTTCTAAATCATCTGAATCAAGAACTTCGGTTTGCCTAAATGAAGTGTGTTGGAGCCATTTCTGTTGCTCTTTGATTTCTGGCACAAATTATATTTAATCATTTTATAATTGTCACAATTTTGTCAATTACTCGTAGTTTTCAGTCATGTGGGACTTGGAGGTCAAAACATCCTTAGAAGTGCAGTACAGACCCTGTCAAGTTTCCGTTTCTTTCAAGCCAGCTTTCAAGTTTTGTTTTCAAGCCAAAGAAGAAAATCAAAGATATGTGAACAAACTGCACCTGCAGAAGTTCAATCACTAAATACATTTAGAGTCATTCTAAAATGCTCAACGTGAAAAACACAACATGTATTAAGAGAGTGTTAATAAAAGATCAAATTCAATATACAATGTTTTCTCTATACGTTTTCTATGGGAAAACGTGCAATTTAGCATGTTGAGTTCATATTCTGGACAAATCTGTTCGCCTATATATAGAATGCAACATCAATAAGGTGTGTACTGAATTTGGTAACACTGACTCACTACATTAGTTGTAGCGTTCAATTGAAGAAAGCCATGTTTTGCCCTCCAGGTCGACATTCCTAAAAGGGTGTGACGTCACATGAAAACTATAAATTGTATTTTTGCTATTGTTCTTTAATTATTTTGATATTAAATAGAATTGAATGTGAATGTACTTTTTCTTTCAATATAGAGGTGTGACTCATTTGGACACGCCCTTCTTTGTAGCCTGACTTCCTGTTATTAGGTGGCAGCCTTGTGTGTTTGGGGTGTAGCAAATGACCTTCTTTAACCACATTATGCACTTTAAGGTTACACTTTATTTTACATTTATTATACATTTATGTACAAGGCACAATATGTAAGATATTTTTATTAAAATATCCAAAAACCACTAGAACAGTGTTATATATTTTGCTGACTTGTGTACTTACATTATCCCAAATGTTTCAAAGAATGTATAAATCCAGAGAAATAAGCAATTTTAACTAGAGACACGGAGCGTGTCTATAGTGTCATTGTGTCGCCTGCCAATGACGTCATAACTCCTCGATTTCCGGTTTTGTTTTGTAGAAAACATGGAAACACCAAATACGCTTTAATATTTTATGCGTTTTATTAGACCGGTGACGACCGCACAGAGTAGCATTATAACAGAACGTTCAAATGTATCTAGTATGATAAAACAGCGCTGCTTTACCCCACATACGCACGACTGGAAGGAGTGGAAGCGGTTGGCTGTGGCATAATAAAAGCTCCGCTGCTTTCGAGCCGTGTGTCGCGCTCGTTCAGCGGCCTCGTTTCGCTTCGACGGCTTTCAGCCTCACCCTGCTTCATTCTACTACGTTAATAAATCATTAGCTCATCCATGAACATGATTTCTGCCCGAGTCCCGTCGGATTGCATCGGCTGTGGGGATGAAGACCACAACTCCCATGATTCCACACTCAGTCACGGCGTCATCAAACTACGCCTTTGTCTCTTTGTTTATTTTGAATACACGCACTCTAGTGGTGAAAATTACATATTGTGCCTTTAAGTACTGAGTAATATTAACTACATGTACTTACTATATGGTTAGGATTAGGGTTTGGCTTAGGGTTACTTACATGTAATTATGCATAATTTTTTGTTATTATAATAGTAAGTACATATAACATGTAACAAGGACACCTTAAAATAAAGTGTTACCCACTTTAATTCTGTGTGCTTTGAAGAATCAATCATCTGGATCTGGGAAGTGACTTGAAATGTATTTTGATGGAACTGAAGTTGAGTGTAAGTGACTATAAAGTGGCAGAAGCAAGACTTTTAAGGGCTGAGTATTCTCGCCAAGCGCAGAAACACAGTATCTTAATATTTAATTTCACTGCCACTTTTCAAGTACTCTTTTACCCTCTTCTACTGCATTAGTTTCATGACTTATTTAAATACCTATCTAATAACAAAAACAAACAAAAAACCACTGCTATAATACTATACTTGTAAACGGTGTTTGAACTGTGCATATTTCTCTCCTGATTGAGACAGGAAGATTTTTTTTGGCTGGGGGAAGTGTTATATTGGATTACGAAGTCTTATTTTGTCTGGAAGCGAAGGTTTAAAGTTAAAATGATGGATTTGTTTCTTACAAACACGCAGCTTTTGGCTTCAAAAGACATGAATTGATGGACTGGAGTGGTGTGGATTGAATGCTACAATTTTTCAAATATGTGACCCTGGCCTGGAGCACAAAACCAGTCATAAGTAGCATGGGTATATCTGTAGCAATGGCCAACAATACATTGAATGGGTCAAAATTATCGATTTTTCTTTTATGCCAAAAATCATTACACTTCTTTAGGACTGAAGCAATGCAACACCCTCTGACTGCAATGATAGAGCTTGAAAGATCAAAGACAATTTTTAAGAAAACTCCGACTGGATTCGTCTGAAAGAAGAAAGTCATATACACCTAGGATGCTTCGAGGGTGAGTAAAACGCAGCCTAATTTTCATTTTTGGGTGAACTAACCCTTTAAGTAAAGATCATGTTCCATGAAGATATTTTGTACATTTTCTACCGTAAATATATCAAAATGTATTTTTTTTTAGATACTTTTTTTATTGTTTCCAAACATTAAGAAAAAAAAAATGAATTGCATATATACTGCACCAGTAACCAATTTTTGTAAAATACATTAAGAAAATGACAGTTCCAAAATGTAATTTTTGATTAGTAATATGCATTGCTAAGAACTTCATTTGGACAACTTTAAAGGCGATTTTCTCAATATTTTGATTTTTTGCACCCTCAGATTCGAGATTTTCAAATAGTTGTATCTCGGCCAAATATTGTCCTATCCTAATAAACCTACATCAATGGAAAGCTTATTTATTCAGCTTTCAGGTGATGTATAAATCTCAATTTCAAAAAATTGACCCTTATGAATGGTTTTGTGCTCCAGGGTCACATATGAAGAAGAAACAAACTCATGGCCTGAAGGAGAGGATGGCCAGTTTTCATTTTTGGGTGAGCTATTGCTTTAAATATCAGCACCAAAAAATTCCTACAGTCTAATTACAACACAGAGTACTTTCTCTGAACTTATTTGATAGTATCATGTCTATTAAGATGCTATTAAAAGCAAGTCTGCTGCTCCATATGCATAAGTGTGAAATCCTGGAGGTGGTGTCTGGGCACGCAGCGAAACGAGACGCTGTGCGGTGTCTGGACTCGCAGGAAGGCGGTCGTGGCACGTCTCGCACGCACACATACCGTGCATAGCAGCTGACTTGGTCTCCTCGATTGACTCGTATTTGTCTGTGAGTTGAGCCTTCGTGATGCGATGCTCTGTGGATTCCTGGTCCAGCCGCTGCTGTAGAGTCTTCAGCTTGTAGTTCAGGTCGATTTCCAGACTGTTCTTCTCCTAAAAGCACAGAGCACATAGAAACACTGGTTACACAAAACACAATTACTTTACACAGCCAACAATCATTTTAGAAACACAGTGAACACAATGGCAGCCAAAGACATCATCATCAAGACAGGAGATGGATTGGAACTTTGGCAGTGATTCTATATCAATTTACTACACTAATTTAAACACTAGCACAAAATCTTGATTAATTCTATTCACACTATATTTATGCATTATGTATAAACCTTTGAAACAGTGAGACATTTTAACAGTGAGACAGTCGCAAACAGTGAGACATGCTAAATCCTCAAGGCAGTGCCTAGATTTCCATTCAATGTGCATTGCTGTAATGTTACTGAAATGCTAGAAGGCACCAACTGATGTGTCTTTTTTTTTATTACATTAACGTTCATACACTGTAAGAAAAAAATCTGAAAAAAAAAAAAAAAAAGTAGTGGTACCTTTACAAGGTTTCAAGGACCTTTTACCTTATCTACCCTTAAAAATTGGTAATTTATGGTAATGTAAACTGATGCAAAACAGACAAAGCAAAAATTCTTAATGGTCCACAATAGACTGCAATTATTATGTAAAATACACAAAAAATATATGCACATTTTTAATAAAAATAATAATAAAAATAATACCTTCTCTAAAACGTTGCATCTGTCCTGCACTTGTTTTCTCTCCAGCTCCACTTTAGACAGACTGTGCTTCAAGTTCTTGTTGTCCTCTTGTAGACCCGTGATACGAGCTTCAAAGAGACAAACATCAGACTTACATCACATTGGATGATCACAATATCTGCAAAGGGAATGTTTGGAAATGTAAAATGTAGTATTTCCTACACTTAAGCAATATATGAAAATTGTAAAAAATGAAAAAAAAAAAATTTTGTTTTACATTGCAGCCTTAGGCAGTTCACACAGAAAACGTTTTTCCATTCCAATGCGCTACTTTTCCATGGTTTTTCTATGTAAACGCACTAGACGAATGTGTATGACCGTTGCGCTTATCTCTTTTGCAGAATCTCAGACGAGTGCATTGTTTTTAAGACGCTGTGTCAAGTTAAAAGAATTTCAACTTTTACACGCAATGCCGCCACTCAATGTGAGTTCCAAAACAGTGGACCAATCAGAAGCCTCCGGAGGCGGGGCAAGCATTGCAAGATTTTGTTTACAGTAGCAAGTTGGCACGGCAAAATCGCAGAGGTTCTGCATTGTGCTTTTTCTAAAACCATTCCTGAGCGCTGTGTCTCGCATTTTTAGATGCAAAGACTAGTTCTGTGTGAATGGCACTTCATTCCCTCCATTGCCCAAAACAACAAAGCAAAAAAACTGATTTGCAGATTTGTAGTTTTAAGATAAAACTGAGGCCATGTCCACACATACACGGGTATTTTTATAAATGGGGTTTTTCCTTCTTCCGTTTTAAAAAAAATCTCCGTCCACATGAAAACACAAACGCATGCTATGAAGCACTGTCAAGAGCATACCAAGCCAACAGGTGGCGATATAATCTCAACCGTAAAGCCATGTTGACCAATCAGAAGCCTGAAAAAGTTTCCAGTAGGCGGAGATAACAGCGCATGCGCCGACGTCACAAGCAGTGTTGCCAAGACCGCGGCTTTCCTGCAGAATTGGGCTACTTTAACACTGTTGCTGCGGGTTGTTTTTCATGTTTGCGGGTTGAAGCAACCCCAATAACGTGATATTTATCCCCTGGAATGCGAATTTTACTGGAGTATCCCTGCCGAAAAACGTGTATTTTACCCCCTGGAATTTGATTTTTACTGGGGAACCCCCCTTGAAACGCCATTGGGCTAGTTTTGAGTAGCAATTGGGCGGTTTTTGTTGCGAAAACCTGGCAACCCTGGTCACAAGCCAAAATCTCCGGTTTCGCTGTCTTCACGATAACACTGCGAGTTTTTGAAAATCTTCACCCTGGCAGGAGTTTTCAAAAATGTTCGGTTTCAGTGACCTGGTGCTGCGTTTGCGTGTGGACGAACGGCCTAACCGCATAGAAAAAGCTGCGGTTTTGAAAATACCCGCGATCGTGTGGACAGGGCCTGAAACATCACATTGAAAAGTATTCATATCCTTTGCTTTGTTATTTGAAATTAACTCAGGTGTATCCCAGTACTCTGGATCATCTTTGAGATGTTTCTACACATTGTGGTAAATTATCTATAAGGTCTAAGCTAAAAACGCATAGAGTAAAAAAAGAGCTTGCATAGCTCAGAAACAGGACTGTGTCAATCTGAGGTTTCAGATCTGAGGAAGGCTACAAAAAAAAAATAATAATAATAATCTACTGCAATGAGTTCTGAGAGCATGGGGCCAAATGCAACTCTTCCTAGAGCTGGCCGTCCAGCCAAACTGAACAATCAAGGGAGAAGGGCCTTGGTAAAACAGGTGAGCAAGAACCTGATGTTCTCTCTGGTTGAGCTCCAGAGATCATCAGTGGAGATGGCAGAAACCTCCAGGACATCTCTGCAACTCCTTATGGCAGTGTGGCCATATAAAAGCTTCTCCTCAAATCAGAGAAAGCCCGCTCTTACCTTGCAGCTCTCTGATCTCCTCTGAGCCCTGGCTGCAGGACCGTCTCTCTGTGTCTAGCGTGGTCTGCAGCTGGAGCAGCTCTTTTTCCAGCTGTTGTTTGAGACTCTCTGCGGCGCGGCTCTTCTCCTGCAGCTCGCGATTCACGCTCTCCAGCTGGCTCATGGACTTCCCCATCTCTGTGTGGCTCTTCCTCAAACGCACCACCGTGTCAGACTCAGCCCGCAGAAGGTCGTTGGATTCCCTCAGCTGTGAGGACAAGGTTGTGTGAGATGGTGTTTCTTAATTGTAATGTAAAGATCCAGAGTCAGAAGATCTGGATGGCAGAAGATCCAGAGTCACAGTACATTTAAAGTTTGAGAAAGTCATCTCAAGAACAGCTTCCAAAACAATATCACAACTCACATTTTAATTTGCTTTAATCTAGATAACGTGTTGTGCATAACTTAAAATTTTGTGTATATATATATATACACATATATATATATATACAGTGGGTACGGAAAGTATTCAGACCCCCTTCAATTTTTCACTCTTTGTTATATTGCAG